TCAATTGCCAAATTTCAATTATAAAGACATTCTTCAAGTATCCGTCGCATGCGCGAGTCTTGCTGAATGGGTAATCGCTATGGATACATACGCTAAAATAGCGAAAGAAGTGGCACCGAAACGTAAACGTGTCGCAGCAGCTGAAGCTGATCTACGTGCTGTTAATGAGCAATTGAAAAAGAAACAAAATCAATTGCAAGAAGTCGAAGTTAAGATCAAAGAACTTCAAGATTCATATGACCATCAAGTAGCTGAAAAGAAAAAATTGGAAATCTCGATTATGCAAACGCAATCACGATTGAAACGTGCTTCGAAATTAACAACAGCTTTAGCAGACGAACAAATTCGTTGGAAAGAAAACATCAATGAATTTATTGAACAAATGAAAACTGTCACTGGTAATGTTTTTGTTTCGTCGGCATGTGTCGCCTACTATGGTGCTTTTCCATCATCGTATCGAACTGAAGTATGTCTTGCATTGACTTTCGCTACGAAAATCATTGTTTTTATATATTTAGCTTGTCGAACAGTGGGTTGTCGGGTGTAAAGACCACAAAATACCAATTCTAGATAATCCTTCAATAATTAGCGTACTTGCCGATGCTTTCTCGATTCGACAATGGGTCACACAAGGTTTACCACGCGACGACTTCAGTACCGAAAATGCAATTCTAGTGACCAAAGGTCGTCGTTGGCCTTTGTAAGAGAGAAAGAGTTCATCAGTCTAAACAAACATCGTTCAATTTCTGTATTTTCTCTCTAGAATTATCGATCCACAAGAACAAGCAAATCGCTGGATTAAAAATAAAGAAAAAGATAATCAATTAAAAGTCATCAAGATGACGGATGGCCATTTCTTACGCATATTAGAAAACTGTGTACGTATTGGCATGCCTCTATTGCTCGAAGATGTTGGTGAAACATTAGATCCTGCTTTGGAACCGATTTTACTTAAGCAAACATTCATGTCGGTGCGTATTCATTATACTTTTCGTCTTTTCCGCAGTTTGATCAAGGTATCTTCTAGGGCGGCCGATTGTTGATTCGTTTGGGTGATTCAGATATTGAATATGATAGCAATTTCAAATTCTATATGACCACGAAATTAAGCAATCCACATTACTTGCCGGAAATTTGTATCAAGGTGACAATTATCAATTTCAGCGTTACAAAGCAAGGTTTAGAAGATCAAATTCTAAGGTATGATGAGTTTGAGAAAGAAAATTCGAGTCTAAATCAATTCATCGTTGATTACTCTAGTGATGTTGTACGTCTTGAACGACCTGATCTTGACGAAGAAATGAATCGTCTTATTATTACTATGAACAATGATCGAAATCAATTGAAAGCTATCGAAGACAAGATTTTGAAGATGCTATTCGAGAGTGAAGGCAATATTCTTGACAATGAAGAATTAGTTAACTCGCTCAACGATTCGAAGGTGACGTCGACAGCAATTAAACGCCGTCTTGAAGAAACATTGAAAACGGAAGCAAATATATCTGCTGCTCGAGAGAAATATCGTCGCGCAGCAACACGTGGTTCTCTTTTGTATTTCGTTGTTGCTGATCTAAGTTTAATCGATCCGATGTATCAATTTTCTCTTCGTTACTTCACTCAATTATTTAATACAACGATTGAAAACAGTACGAAAAGCGAAGATCTCACTCAACGATTACAAACCATTCTCGATAGTACAACCGAAAATATCTACACAAATGTTTCTCGGTATGTATAACTCAAATTCTCTTGGATGCATTTTGAGTCACTTCTTATTTCTAGTGGTCTCTTTGAAAAAGACAAGTTGGTGTTCAGTTTTCTTCTCTGCGCTGAAATATTGAAATTAGAAGGTGTTATCAACGAAGTCGAATGGAACTTTTTACTCCGTGGTGGCTTGGTAACCGAGCAAGTAAGTATCAAAGCTTTTCTTTCTAAAACATCTCTCTCGCATTTTCCTTGTAAAGAAACGACCACCGAAACCAGCACACGATTGGCTCATCACCGAACACTGGAATCAAGCGTTAGCCTTAGCTGATGTATCCGAATTGTACAAGAATTTACCACGCGATATCGAAGATTATCAACAACCAATTTATGTTGACATCAACTCAGAACTGCGTATTGTCATCAATAGCAACGATATAACCACGAAGGTTCCTAGTGAATACAATACAAAAGCAACGGACTTTCAAAAATTGTTATTTGTGAAAGCCTTTGCACCTTATTCACTTGTACAATCAATCACGTATTTCGTTGCGGAACAATTAGGCAAAAAATTTGTTGAGAGTCCTTCGGTGGAATTGCCTATACTTTATCAAGATATATCGAATCGTACACCACTGGTATTTATTTTGAGTACAGGTTCAGATCCTATGTCAAGTTTTACCAGATTTGCTGCTGAGATGAACATGACTAATAGGTATGCTTTCGATTGATTATTTTTTCGTTCTCGAACATAAATTTCGGTTTCTTGTGTAGTTACAAAGCAATTTCACTCGGCCAGGGTCAAGGTCCTGTTGCTGAAGATATGATCACAAAATCAGTCGCAGCCGGAGAATGGGTCTTCTTGCAAAACTGTCATTTAGCTGCTAGTTGGATGATAAACATGGAATCGATTGTAAAGAATATCAACGAAGGTATTACTGTCTGCCATCCAAATTTCCGATTGTATCTCAGTTCGATGCCTGCAAAAACGTTTCCTGTTAGCGTCCTCCAGAATAGTGTGAAAGTTACCAGCGAACCGCCCAAAGGTATCCGTGCAAATATGAAACGCGCTTTCATCGACATTACGCCGACATTCTTTGAAACACATCGTAAGTTACTTTTCTTCTTTGCTGTTTGAAGTCAATCTTTATGGCGATTATTTTCAGGTTTGGAAATGGACTGGAAGAAGATCGTATTTGGTATTTGCTTCTTTCATGCTAGTCTATTAGAACGAAAGAAATTCGGACCGTTGGGTTTTAACATTCGTTATGAATTCAATGATGTAAGTGATGCGAATGAACATATCGGATACGAAATTTCTCTTCTAGAGTGATCGCGACTGTGCTTTGTTAAATTTTGACATGTTCTGTAAAGATGGAGCGATTCCATGGGATGCATTAGTGTATATAACTGGTAAGATCATTAATTTCCCCTAATTAGTAGGAACGAATGACGAGATGATTGCGATGAATTTTTCAGGTGAGATTACCTATGGTGGTCGTGTCACTGATTTCTGGGATCAACGCTGTTTACGTACGATTTTACGTCGATTCTTCTCTCCACCAACTCTTGAATCTGATTATAAATATTCTTCATCGGGCACATACTATTGTCCAGAACAGCAGTTTCTTCAACAGTATCGAGATTATATCGAAGAATTACCAATTACTGACAATCCCGAAATCTTCGGAATGAACTCGAATGCTAACATTACATTTCAAGTAAGATTTTCGATTCAGTTCCTTGAGAATATCTTCTGATCGAGTCGATTTTTAGACTCAAGAATCGAATTATCTTGTGAATACGATTATCGACATTCAACCACGTGTATCATCAGGTGGTGCTGGTAAATCCAATGATGAAATTGTTTACGAATTAGCTCAAACTATTCTTGAGAAACTACCAGAAAAATTAGATATCGAAAAAGCTCCGCGTTCACTATTCGAACCTGACGCGAAAGATCGATTGAATTCTTTGACAACTGTTCTTCAACAAGAAGTCGATCGATACAATCGTCTATTGAATATCATTAAATTGTCACTTGGAAACCAAATGAAAGCAATCAAAGGTCTTGTTGTGATGGATGAAACTCTAGAAAAAAGTAGAATAACACTTTTCTTGCATCGTTCATTAAAATCATACGAATGAAATCTGTTTTAGTGTATACGGCTTTTTTGAACAATCAAGTACCTTCAATATGGGCAGATGCAGCATATCCGTCGTTGAAATCTTTAGCTTCATGGATAAAAGATTTGCTGTTACGTTGCGATTTCACTAGTGTAAGACATTTCCTTCGAAAAGATCTATTTGGATTCTGATTGAAACGTTTTAGCTTTGGATTATTCATGGTTTACCGAAATCTTTTTGGTTACCTGGTCTATTCTTTCCTCAAGGCTTTCTCACAGGTGTTCTACAAGTTCATGCTCGTAAATATGATTTACCAATCGATGAACTGAGCTTTCATTTTACCGTCCTACCATTCGAACGAGATCAAGTCACGTACAATGAACAAGCTAAACGTATGGAATATGGAAAGAAACTTGAAGTCGATGAAAAAGTAATACTTTTTCGATAAAATGAACGATATTTTTGATAAAAATTCCTTTTCAGTTACCACACATAAAAGACGGTGTAATTCTGCATGGTCTTTACATGGAAGCGTTCCGCTGGGATCACGAACGACAACAAATCTCGGATGCAGTTCGTGGCGAAATGATAGCGTCATTGCCTATGTTACATATGGAACCTCGACAAAACTATGTCGTTGATCCATCACATTATATTTCTCCATTGTATAAAACTGCTGCTCGAGCTGGTGTTCTATCGACGACAGGTAATTGAAATCTAAAAGAAAAGTCTAATTAATAACACATTCGATTTCAATCTTTGAAGGTCATTCGACAAACTTTGTCGTTACAGTAAATTTACCAACTGATAAACCACAAGATTACTGGATATCGATGGGCAGTGCACTACTATGTCAAATGACTGATTAAATAGGATATGAATAACATTTTTCCATTATTTTCAAGTCGAATGATTGACTCTGATTCTTTGTTTTTTTTTCTCTCTTTTGTATACACGTCAGTAACATTCTATAGTGATCACTACTGAATATATTTTTTATTCTCTTCATTCGAAAATATGATAATAAACAACTAAAGTAACTCAATTTCAAAGATAAGGATAATTTTATGATTGGATTCAGTTTCGAATATCTCGATAAAAAAAAAACAAAAAGATTAGATTGGTAAAATAAAGTAAACATTTCACTAAAACAAGATTCACTAACAATAATGCAAATCGAAGTAAGAAGATGCGATCGCAAGTTTGATTTTCATTGCTAATTTGATTTCGTTAGGAAAGGGAACCTTTGTCGTCCGATGAAGAAAACCCTATAGAAAATTTATCTCTTGAACATGTGATACACGAATGTGGATCATTTCATCGATATCAATTCATCCATTTCTTCTTTTTAAGTCTTTTTCCAATTGCGTCCGGAATTGTGAATTTTTACTATGTCTTTGGCGCAGCAGAAAATCCCTATAAATGTCAAGTACCAACCACAACAAACCAAAGTTTATATATAGAAATATCTCCCTCACAATGCTCCTATGATATAATGGATAAGTGGAATCGAACAATCGAATCTCATCCTTGTAGGATTTGGGAATATGATCGAAGTGTCTTCGGCGAAACATTTACTAGTGAAGCAAATTTTATTTGTCAACGCAGTATTCATCGTTCACTTCTTGCAACTATGTTGCAAATAGGTGCCATGTTAATCTTCTTCACTGGACATATCGTGGATACGATTGGACGTCGTCGATCGATTCATTTAATAACTGCTCTGTTCTTGATGACCTCTTTGATTACACAAGCACTCTTACAATTCGTGCCAATGTCCATAAATCAAAAGTAAGAAAAGCTTCGAGAGCTTCAGTGCTCATAACAAAATCAAAAGATTAGAAAAACTAATCTGACGTTGACTGACAGTCTGTCATATGAACATTTTCATTTAGATTTGGACTACTTCTCATTAACCAATTGATATCGGGTATCGACACATTTATGGTTTCGTTTCTTCTCTTGATGGAAATAACCACGTCTGTGTATGCGACATTTGTCGGAAACTTAGCATTGGTGGCGTTTGCCGTTGGTGAAATCGTTATCACTGGTATGGCTTATGTTTGTCGAGATTGGCTCCGGTTGAAATGGGTTATAACGGTGTATGTGCTTGCACTTGTACCTTACTTATACTATGTACCTGAATCACCACATTGGTTATTAACGAAACATCGTTATGGTGAATTGGAAAAACTCTTACGACAAATGGCACGATGTAACCGACGACCGGAATCGAGATGGTTTCCAATTTATCGATATGTCGTGGATAGCCATCGAAAGCAGAAGGAGATCAATAAAAATAGGACATCTATATTATCATTTACTGCTCGAGCACACCGATTTCTAACGCATATACCAACAATGAGTAAATTATTCATAACTGGCTATATTGGTTTTATCACGTTGCTTCTCTATATGAAAATTTCTTATAATCTCGGAGCCATGGAAGAAATCAGTCCCTACATAAACATCATTATCGGTGCAGTTGCTGAAGCTGTCGGTTACATCATACCAAGTCTTTTCATGATATATTTCGGTCGAAAACCCATATTTATACTTTTCCTTTTATTTACAGTTCTTTATTTATGTATCGCACCGTTAACTATCCGCCAAGATCGTTATGTTATTGTGATTATTGCTCAACTAGGAAAATTTGCGATTAGTGCTGCAGTTTGTGTCACGTATATATTTGTGCCAGAATTATTTCCAACTTCAATTCGTGGTACTGGTATGGGCTTTTTTATTTTACTCAGCCGATTTGGATCAACAATTGCACCTATGATCGACGCGAAGATTCATCACAATCATTTACTAGAAACTTATACGTATTATCTCTATGCTTTCTTAACTTTTCTCTGTATACTCTTGACGTTCTTATTGCCCGAAACACGGAATGTGCCATTAGCTGACACCCTAGATTATACTCCGAAGAAAACGAAGAAGGCGTCATCAAACACCTAATCAATATGACGAGGCATGAACTATTATGATCACTGAATAATTTATGTGAGATATTGGAAAAGAAAAGTACCTTCTTTTTCTTTTTCTTTTGCCTATTGTTCTTTACATAAATATATACGAGAATAACCAGATAGTTTTGACTTCTTCTTTGATCGTCTCTTAGTCGTACAATTAGGAAGCCATTCGATTTCCGTTTGGTTTCAGAATCAGAAAACCGAACTACTGAAGTAGGACAGCAAATGGCCGTATCAATTTAATCTGCCATCAGACACACAATCCGTTTTTCTTTCTCTGATTTTCATAAATGACGTGACAAACAAAATCGAGTTGTAGTTCAATAGTTGTTCCAGTCAATAAGATCTATCTTCATTTTGACAGTTCCATTGATGAGTATGGGGAAAATATGAGACGAGCATTTGTTTGCTTAATTGTCAATGCTGATTCTGGCTCTTGCTTTGCATCTTCATATTCTTTGTATAAAGTCAAATAATCACATGGAAATTATCCGAAAGCTTGACAAAGAGGGAGGGAAAGAATAGCGGAAGAACTCGTGTCATCATTGGCGATTTGCATTTAGTGCGGCATTCACTCTGATTTTTTTCTCACAATGAATGTGAAAACACAAAGGATTAGAAAATCAGGCTAACTCTTGATGAAATCAGCTCTTCGCTATATGCATCATCAATAAGTCTCACACACAACGAAGCTGCAACTTTCTCTAATTTAGATTACTGAAATTTATCGTATCCACCGTTCTCCACTCAATTATCTACCCTACTCGTGATTGTCACATTAATATCACTAAAAATAGGTACGTAAACATTACTGTATTCGAATATCAAATTATTTGGGCAAATGCCAGTCTATAGATGTCACTCGAATCTTTGCCCAAAAAATAGGTGTATTGTGAATTTTCTCGAAAAATATCTCTACGCAAATTTATAAAACGGAAACATTTTCCTAATTGTTGAAATATCGAAATTATTAATTAGTCTCGTCGACCAATCAGAAAATCTTGAGCAATGATTAACGCCCTTTTTCGTTCTTTCTCTATCGTCCTTTCATCATTTATTCGAGATTTTGAGTTTTGCTCACGAGTTTTTACACAACAGTGTTCAGCGTAAACAGCAATATCTAAAAAAAAATTAGCTGCTTTTTCTATCTTCTCCCTCGTCCTACTTTGCTCAATTTGAAAGAAAAATCTATTTCATCGTCTGTAGAAGACGAATAGAGACAAAATGGTCTCCAAAGTAAGAATTATTTGGCGTGACGTAAATATTCATCTAATTGTTTGTGTGTAGATGTTATGAACGAAAAGAAACGTCTTTTGGTCCATTTCGACATGAACAAAGAATACAATACAGTACGGACAACGTCCAGTAAGTGTGTTTGTTTTTCTTCCATAGGAAGAGCTAGTTCACTTTTCGTACGACATCGAGAGATCGTCTTCTGTATCGTTGTACTTTTTCTTTTCCTAGGTTCCGAAACAGCAGGTAAAGAGAAGATGCTCATAGGAAAAGGCTAGCTAATTGATTTTCTATCATTTTACCACTATTCGCACGTCAAATTCATGTTAGCACCGGAAAGAAAAGCGCATTGCTCGATATTTTTAGATAGCTTTCTCTTCTCTTGATTATAAACATGTTCGTTACAGATGAACAATCATTCCTTCCCACGAATCCATTCGCTGAACCAACAACAACGACGGCGTCCTCGAATACGACCCACCATGGAACAGACGATGACATGATTGATATTGATTTTCGCAATTCCAATAACGACAAACTAAACAGTAAGTTTTCTGTGTGAAATCAGTGATAAAATAGTCCAAGATGAACCATTAGACGGTGTTATGAATGTAGATTTAGTTAACACACATTATGATGATTTTCAAACAATTGATTGGCTTAAAGATCTCATGCGTGATCGTTTTCGGCATCGTTTACTACGTGCTAAAACACATAATTCTCTTATAAACAAACTCTTAATGTATCACGACGCATGGTCTGGTTGGTTATGTGTATTGCTTGTCGGTCTAAGTGCAGGTGTCATTGCTGGAGTTATTGACATCGGAACAAATTGGATATCACATTTAAAACATGGAATATGTCTCAATGCATTCTGGCTGAACAGAGAACAATGTTGTATGTATTGAATTGATGATGTTTTTATGATTAGCTGAATTCAAGGTCGTGACGCCCTCCGCAAGCGTCGTTTTAATCAACTGTTCGAATTTTGTTTTTGACTGCGAACATGACTATTTCTAGTCAATTGATAGATAGATAGATACCAGAATTCCTTGTTATTCTTGAAAAAACCTATTAATTATGAATAATTTCTGTCGACGTCAGATAGTCATATTGTTAATTTCAATTAATCTTCCGAATAGATTAGAATGCTGTGACATAATCAAAAACAGTGTTGCTATTTGCTTAGGTAACGGTTGTCATGTTCTTAACATTTACATTTTCATTATAAACTATTCCAAAGAAATAGACATGAAACGTGTTCTTTGTTTTATTTATTAGGTTGGGCTTCACGAAATCTACAATATACCAGTGTAAATACAGAAGAATGCACCGAAGTGAGATAGAGCAATTTGATTTTCGTGATCGAACTTTTGTTGATTTAAGTGGTTTACTTGGCCACAAGTATTTGGGCTATATGGAACAGGATTTGGTCGAGACCTATTGTCTTATATTATGTATATATTTTGGTCAACAATATTCGCAACATTTGCCGTTCTTTTAGTAAAAGTATTTGCACCCTATGCATGCGGTAGTGGTATTCCAGAAGTGAGTTGCATATTCATCTCTTCAGCTTTCTCTTATTTCATACATATGTTTGTTCAAATAGATTAAAACCATCTTAGGTGGTTTTATTATCCGTGGATATCTGGGCAAATGGACTTTACTAATCAAAAGCATTGGCATGGTGTGTATCTCTCGATCTTTGTTATGATTAAAACGAAGTCTTGAATTGATTTGTATAGATGTGTGCAACAAGTGCTGGACTTATCTTGGGCAAAGAAGGCCCCTTTGTTCATATTGCTTGCTGTTGCGGCAATATATTTTCGTATCTCTTTCCAAAATATGGTCGCAATGAAGCGAAGAAACGAGAAATTCTGTCAGCAGCTGCTGCAGCTGGTGTTTCAGTTGCTTTCGGTGCACCTATTGGTAAGAAAAAAACCACATCATGAAATAAAACACGCATTTTCCCATTTGTCAATTTAGGTGGCGTTCTGTTTAGTTTAGAAGAAATCTCCTATTATTTTCCATATAAAACTCTATGGCGTTCCTTTTTCTGTGCTATGGTTGGCGCACTTGTTGTTCGGTCAATTAATCCATACGGCAATGGACATGATATCCAATTCAGTATCGATTATTCCGTACCATGGGCATCATTCGAGTTACTGCCATTCATCATATTAGGCATTCTCGGAGTAACAGATCCAAACGATCAGAAAGAGAAAACTTTATAGTTTTTTCGACATATTTTAGGGTTTGTGGGGAGCTTTCTTTATTAAAACAAATATTTGGTGGAGTCGCGTTCGCAAGAACTCTCGACTTGGAAAATATACCACCCTTGAGGTACGTATTCGAGCACTTTTTCGCACCGGTCGGAAATGAACCATTCGTTCATCGAATAGAAATAGTTCGGTTTTATACCAAAAAAGTATATTTTGTCAGAGCTAACTACATTTCTACTGCGGAAAAATCTCATTTGAAAAAAAAAACAAAAACAAAATTGGTTGTGTACATTCAATAGGTTGTTGGTCTGGCATTAATTACAGCAATCATCATTTATCCAAACCCTTATACACGTATGTCAATGTCAGAATTAATTAAACGTTTAGTCAGTCAATGTCGTGTGGGAGATATGATCGATCTTTGGTAAGAGCAAAATTTAGTCATTTGTCTCTTTTCAACGGATGAAAATTTTCGTGTAGTGATTATCCAGGTTCTCCGTTTATCAGTGGCACATCGAAGGGTTCAGTTGGATTGGCTGGCCCAGGCGTTCATCGAGCCATATGGCAGCTATTCTTCGCACTTATTGTTCAAGTATTACTTGTTACATTCACTATTGGTACTAAAGTACCATCTGGCATAATTATTCCTTCAATGTCAATCGGAGCAATAACAGGCCGTATTATTGGTATCATAACTGAACAATTAGCAATTCAAAACCCAACATTTATTCTGTTCCGTCATGATTGCAGTAAAGGTAAATCAAATAACGGCTTTTTCCTGATTAAATGATAGAAATCATTTGAAAATTTTTTGTTCAGATGAAAATTGTGTGACGCCTGCTCTCTATGCTATTGTCGGTGCCTGTGCATTTCTTGGTGGTGTTAGTAAAATGACGATATCATTAGTTGTTATTATGTTTGAACTGACAGGTGGCCTCACCTACATTGTTCCATTAATGGCTGCAGCAATGACAGCCAAATGGATTGGTGATAGTTTTGTCCGTGGTGGAATTTATGATGCACATATTGAATTAAATGGGTATCCATTTTTAGACAATAAGGAGGAATTTAATTTCACAACAATTGCAGCTGAAGTAATGCGACCACGGTAAATTTGATTGAAAGAAAATGTTTTCCTGGAAGAAAATTTGTTAATTTATTGAATTTGAATAGGCCTGAACAACAAACATCATTGGCTTTTCTCACTCAAAATGGAATGACGTTTTCCGATATAGAATCTTTACTAAAAGAAACAACTCATACATTGTATCCAGTAGTTGTCACACGTGAACATCCCTACGTTGTTGGACAAATACAAAGACGCGATCTACAAGTTGTTCTCAGTACGTCTTTCATTGATCAGACGGGACTTGCCAAATTTCGACTTGAATCTGTTATTTAGGATCACAAAAGATGCATCGCTATCGTCTTTCGTCAAGTGTTATTCAATTCACATCTCCAGCAGAAGCAGCGCAGAATTCCGATTACGAATCTGATAGTCGATCAGATCAACGTCTAACAACAAACACAGAAGTTATTCGAATTGGCAATCTACTAGATCAAGTTTGTTCATTATTTTCTGGTGTAAAATATTTCTTTCTGCTTTCTAGGCACCAATTATTGTCACCGATCAAACTCCCATGGAAACTGTAATTGATTTATTCCGTAAGCTCGGCCTCCGTCAAGCATTTGTCACACGCAATGGGTAAGTTTACTTTTGACATTCTCGAACGCATGTTCATTCTTATTTGATTTCTTTTCGTATTTAGTCGATTAAGAGGAATCATTACCAAGAAAGATATTCTTCGTCATATTCATCAAATGTCCTCGCATAACACCGAAACAGCGTATTATGACAACTGAAATCTATTTATTTTTCTCTTACCTCGTTTTAATCACAGTGAGATCGTATAACAGTCTCTCTCTCTTTTGCTTGAACTATCTCATACTCATTTTATTTTCTTCCGTTTGTTACCAAAGAACTAAATCTTAACTATCATAAGATATCAATCAATTGCAACCAACTTTCATTCGATTTTTTTTCTGTGTACAGTCTATCTCCTGCGTATATCTATATCTGCAAAATTCAAGAAGAAATTATTATTTTTTGTTTTGTTCCACTTCTTTTTTTATCTTATCAATGTTTGTTGTTCTCGTACATATATCGTTATTAACGTCTGCGTTTCTTTTTAAATTATGGTTTTGTTGAACAATATGTCTGTTTGTGAAGAAAAAGAACTAGAGATAATGATGATCAAAAGTAAAGTCATATGAGTGATGAAGAATGGTTTTCTGTCTATATAACAAAGAAAACAATCGAAATAAAGAGTCAGCGCTGGATTTTCGTTCAATTGTTTTCATTTTTCTAGATAGTTCATTTGATCTGACTGAGAAGGACAGACATGGGTTCAATTCAGGCGAAAAACCAACCAATCGCACCTCCTCCAGCGGTACAAACACCTGTAGTTGAAGGTGAAACAAAGCCGAAATGCAAAGCATGTTGCGCATGTCCAGAAACGAAACGTATACGTGACGAATGTGTCATTCTCAATGGCGAAGAGAACTGTTCAAAAGAAATTGAAGCACATCGTGCATGCATGCGTGCTGCTGGTTTTAATATTTAAAATACAATTGAACTCCATCGAACTATTTTTCTCCCTTTAGGAAAAAGCAAAAGAAACTGTGTTGTTTTTTTTTTTAATTAGTTTTTCACAAAATAAAACTGGACAAAATCGGTTATTGAGTACCTAAAAGCAGTTTAATTAGATTGTCGATAGAGTAATGACCATCGTCATCGAGTGGTAAACATCGTTCGATTTTGGAAATATCGGCTGTACTAATCCCGATTTCTTTCAAGATTTTCCGCAGCTCACTGGGTGAAAAGAATCCGATATTGTCGAGATCAATAATACGTAGGGCTTCACGTAATTCAATTTCCTCCTTCGTTAAAAGATGCTCTTGATAGGATTTGTTCTTCTTTTTATTTGTTGATTCTGAACGCTTCTTTCCTCGTTTGTTTGCAGTTAAACTGCGCGATTGACGACGATCACTTTGCACTGCTGACGTTGATTTAGCTCGTTTAGATCTTGTTTGTACTGGAGAGTCGCCAGAAGCTAAAGGACGAGTTTCGTCAATTGGTTCAACTGTCAACGAATTAACGGATATTGTAACGTCTTTTTTATGTAAAAATTCTAATTGTTCTTGACTAGTTGTATAGTATGTTTTCACTACGGATGCAATCGAAGAGAAATCGACAGGAGATTCTTCATTAATCGATACTTTTTGTTTCGTTTCTTCAACTATCATCAAAGACGTATGCGCTTGTTGATCATCAGTTTGTAACGTAACAGATGAAGCGTTCGATGGTTGAAAATCGTATTGGTAATGACGCATGTGTAAGGAATCATCAATAGTTGGCGATGTCGATGAAGACATAGCACGAGATACATTGAATTGTTCAACAAGCGATAGATCAAACTCCTAGAAAAAGATAGTTTTGGACTTAGATGAATGGTGACGTAAAAAGTGAGATGTACACACGTTCATCAGTGGAAGAATGATTTCCTTCTCATTGACTATCCATTTGCCACTTGTTCCATCATGATTCAATGGTTTATCTAATAGTTCTTCTGCGAACGATACGGAAATGTTCGTTCGAGTTTTATTCGAATCAGTCTCTTTCAATAAACTTCGTTCTTTTTTCTCCTTTCGAGAACGATGAAATTTCTTTTTCAAAGCGTTCAACAACCACGGTGCATTCGTATTTTGTGCTTTCAAAATTTGATTCATACGAATCGGTATCGCACTCGGCAGACTTTTATAATAATTCTCTTGTATCGAACTAGTTGATTTGGAACTATTCAATTGTTTACTATTGTTAAAGTATGTGTTAGTAAGATATTTCCATGAGTAATCTCCTTCACGAGCCACAGACAAGTCATTTTTCACAGCAGCAAACGATTTCGACATCGTCAAAAACAGATTAGTCTTGGATAAAACTTTCACGTCATCCATCGAACAGTTTGTCATTCGAACAATTCAAGTAGAAAAAAAAGCACACTCACACACACACGTACAACGATACGAAAAGAAGAAAAGAAAATGTGATAAGTAACCCAAGCAACAGAAAAGAAAAGAGCAAGAAGAAAAAAACAATGAAATATTCTCAGACACCTATACAGCCCGAAACCAATTTTCTCCACGTTTTGGTTGAATGATGATGATGACGGGATCGGGATCGGGACGGCTTGGCTGATGTTTGTTCTTGTTTTTGTTCTTCAAGTAGAGGTACAATGGATGCTGTCGAAGCCGGTAGTGTCGTACTTGCATCACGAAATTCAATCGCTGTTAGTACAGCGGTGTCGAATACAGTTTTAAGATTTTTTTCTGTTAATGCTGAACATTCAATATAACTACAAGCGTGCATTTCTTGTGCACGTGCGCGTGCTTCTTTCTCAGTCACCGGTTTAAGTTTTTGTTGATCGAGTGTTAACAACGTTTGTAGATCTGATCGAAGATCCATTTGTGTACCGACGAGTATGATTGGAATTTTCGAATTGGAACGACGTGCACGCGACAGCCAATATGTGATTGCATTTTGAAATGATGAAGGATTAACGACACTAAAGCATAATAGAATAACATCACTGTATGGAATACAAAGGCCATGTAAAGGTGAGAATTGTTCCTGAAAGAGCAAAGAGAGAACATCAGTTTTTGATTATTGCAATGCTCCTTGAGACAGTCGTTAGTCTACTGATTATTTGTTTTTTTATTTTCCATTCGACGACTGTTTAATATTAATGATTAGAATAACTAATCAGATATGCAAAATAAAACGTGCACGGAAAAATCGAGACTCGAAACTAAATTAATCAAGTGAGAAGGGATTCATTGCAGTTGGCAAGTGTTGTTTTTTTGTCTCATTGCATACAGAATTGAATCGCACATGATAGGAATATGATAAATATATTACAGATGAATGAGTCTGTTGAAAGCTGCAGTATGACATCTGTTTCATGTCGATGAGAAGTCTAATCTCAATCGAATTTATGCAAATAGAAAAGGAAAAATAAATCGAATCAAATTTGTACTTTGTTGAGAAAGGATTTCCTCAAGTTGCTTTCGTTCGTTCTCGTTCTTGTTGATGAATCTTGTATAAGTATTTGAAGTGTGTCAAAGTAGAAGTGAAAAGAAAACAAGGTCGATTAAACGGATTTTTACCACTTCTCTTTCAAGACAAATGTAAATAAAGGCCTTCTCTTAACGCCTGTCGGACAAAATATTACAGGTACGAATGCTTACATTCAATCGACTCGTTTGATTAAAGTTAGAGAACGAGAAAGAAAAACGAAATGATTAGCATTGGCACACTTTACTTGCCAATAAGATCTATCATTATGCATATACTATTACCCATACATGCTCTTTCTCCCTTTCAATAATTATCATTCTGATATGCACAAGTCTGTAGGGAAGATTCAAGGTTCTCTTAGTAGAGTGTACTTGCATAAATATCGATTCCTATGTGTGGTATATCGTATATTTACCTTTCCTCCTGTATCGCAAATGTCGAAATGAACAAGTCGTGTGCCAACCGACACGTCGACAGAATAATTATCGAATGCAGTTGGTACATATTGCGTTGGAAAATCATTTGTTGTATAACTTACAACTAATGAAGATTTACCGACACCGCAATCACCAATGATAACACATGTTATATGACCACCTGTGTGATGATTATTATTATGTAGAGATGATGATGGTACGAGTGGAATAGATGAGCTCGATGACGGTGATGAAGATATCGTCGTTGATGATTGAGTAGCTGATGATGATGATGTCATATCGTTATGTGTCCTTGCAGTTGTCGTTTCAAAACAGTTTGGACTCATTTTCTAAATAGTGAAAATGCGATATGACTGAAGGTTACAAAAAGGTAATAAAAAAAAGAGATGTAAAAACTGAGAATATAACGAAAAGACGAACGCGAAGAAGAACACGAAGAAAAATAACGATTTTCTTTTAATAGAAATATATTGACACATTTAACAAGATGCCAAATTACATGCGATGAAATACCTTTTTGAATCTATGCATCGGTTAGTTCGCTGTCATTGATGAATAAAAGAATATTGAGCAGTCATTTGAATAATAGTAATGTTGTTTATTAATCGAAAGAACAATAAATGATCTTTGAGATGCGTATAACAACGGAAATCAAAAAAAGAAAGAACTTGCTCGTCGTAAATGCTCTTTTCGTCGGTTCTGCCTCTCTCTCTCTGTTTGACGACCATCTCGATTAAAGATATTTCTTATCGTATATCATCATTCGGATTTCTTTACGTATTACTTCGTTTTACACTGCCAACAGCAAGCGATGACAACACAAGAGAAAGAACGAGAGGGCGATCTATCTCTGTTGTTCTCCGTTGCTTTTTTTATACATCTAGAATCATTCAGTCATAATCTTTTTTCCTCTTCTTTCGCTCGCTCTCTGCCTTTCGGATGTTGTCAATAAAATATTATCCGAGAGCGACAAGGGATGCGCAGAACAAGAAGACTTAACATCATACATAAACACGCAGACTGTTTTGATTAGTGTATAAAGACTTGTATAAAAGGGTAGACCGACTAAATCAAGATATCTGTATGACAAGCATGGTTATTCAGTAAGACAAGAAAAATGATTCCTGATGTTTATGATATAGTCGAGAGAGACATACGGAGAACGACGAAGGCGAGAAAAGATCTTGTCGAGTAAAATGCAAGCATACTCATCGAACCTAAAAACAATAAAAGGAAACGGGCGAAAGAGAACAAGAAGAAGAAACAAGACATTGATAGTTCTAGGAAACATCGTTCGTGCAAGTCGAATTTGATTAATCAAAAGGATATGACCACGCAATCTACATGAAAGGAGACGTTCATCGCTGTATATTTTTCAACTGTCAATTAGTGACATAGATCGATTGTATTAGCAATGATAGCCGAAAAAATGTCCTCGAGTTTGTATAACTAAATCGGATGTTTGACTTGCCGTATACTACTTACTTTAATAACCATGACTTGTAGATTGACGGGAAACAAAGCTTTTTCAATAAAATATATGTCTGTAGATTGATGTAGTCGTTGCAATAGGAAATCAATTTTTTTTCGAACGAACTACAGAGAGAAGAAAAATGAGAAAGGTGAAATCACGACTTTTTTCTCCTTATTCTTTATGCGCTTCTCTTGTCGACATCGTTCCCCTTGCGCCTTCTCAAGGATCTGATGAAGGCAACAAAAAAATTTATGTTGTTACGTCATCGTCATCGCTTCTTTTTCTTGCCTCTCTTGGAGACATAAGGCACGCGTATGCTTTAAGAAAAAAGAAGGTATAATAATTTTGATACACCTGACAAATACAAACATGCGATCTATCTTGCCTTGACAGTACTGATCGATAAAATCAATAATGATTATTAGAAGAAGAAAAAAAATAGGAGAAACTACTTTGATAAACATCTAGACACGATGATGATGAGAGAAAACGGCGAAAAGACTATGTGGATAGACGTAATGAGAGTGTTGATCACACTTTGTCAAGGTGCAAAGTACCCGAAAGTGAGTTAGTGAGCATTTGTACGCAATGTTTCGTGTTACCTATTACAGTACAGTAATTAGATGATGACAGGAGAACGAGAGAGAGAGACGAGAAAAGACTGGGCGTTCATTAGTAATCTAGTGTCTGTCGACTGTCCTTCGCTCATTTACAATCACTATGTTAAATAACGAAGATGACGAGCATTTAACATACCAATTGAATATCAATTGATCACGTAGATCGATACGAAATGAAAGAACGAAACTCACTATCGTAGCTGACCCCCCGACGTGGTACAATCACATCTGGTTCATTTCTCTCTCCCTCTCTTTCAAATCAAAATTCCTCTTTTATATTATATTCGTTGCGTGTACGTATGCGTGCGTAAGAGCATTTATACAGTATGGTGCTCGGACCGTCAATTATTCTTTTACTTCTTCTTCGCATCTAGCCAGCAGCCACGCAGAATATGATACCGCTTTTGTCTTCTGTTTTATCATGAAAATGAGAATATATGTATGTGACGGAATGTAAAAGCGAGAAAAATAACAACAAAAGATTCTATGTACATGCGAACTCGTTGATCAATAGTATATGCAATGAGCTTACGAGATCTTTCTTATGCACATGCTCAGTCTCTAATATGTGCAATCGAGTATAGGGATAGAAGAGGGAAGTGACACATTCGTTTTGCCTCTCGATTTACTAACATCACGCTTCAACTGAATACAACCTATCAATAATGCTACATCGATCAGTAATGATGAAGATAGGGAGACGTCGATTATGCAATAATAACTGGTGAAATCGATGGTAATAGTAAAGATTACCCTCACAAAGAGAATATATTATTGATCGATAGAAGTGTTTTGTTATACTCAACTCAGATGCTTTCAATTTCATCATATATCGCTTATTATTCAACAATATCTCTGGAAGAAAGAAAATAAATACGAAGAAACCTCGAATTGATTGTCTGTCGGACTAACATAAGTGTCGGACATATTCTTCTCGAGTTCTTCGTCTATTAGCTGACTTTTTGTAAATAAATTGAAATGTCTTCTAAGTCGCAAAAAAACATTTTGGATAGAAAAAGAAAAACTTGAACTCAAATGTCATAGTTGACAGTGCGAAGTATGATTTTGAAAGTACTTATAGTAACTCGTTTGCTTTGCTTGAAAAATTTTATCTTAAATATTGGAATTCTATCCTCATCGGGCACAACATATGATTTGATGGTGAGAATATTCTCTCAGGAACATGGTTCAAGTTCGAAGTATCACTGCTCTTTCTCTCTTTCATTTTTGGCGTTGTTTGCCCATGCATAATTGATTTGTTACTATATTACATAAAATATTATTAACAAGCAAGACAAAAGAGCAAGAATGTTTCACAGCTTGACGTATACGATGAAATAAGATGACTTCTGTGTCGTGCACCCTGCTGATAGTAATTGAATTAACCTGCTTTTTGCTGCTAAGACATGTTTAAGGGAAGATTATAATCGACAGAATAGACAATGAACTCAGAAATCTGCTGATCATTGATCGTTATTTAATTATTTAATGGTTAATTAGAAAGCAAAATGTGTATCGTACGTGAAGAGTATTGGTGATACTCGAGAGAACGCATCGATTGAATATGTATTGTTTATCGGATAAAAAGAAGGATATCGGATTTGGGTCTATCAAGAGAAAAGAGACACGACTATCGCGTATCAATGCATAGTTAAGAATGAGAATGCAACTCAAGGATTTCTAATCTCCGTAATAGCTTAATATGCGACAAAATTGTCTGAGAAGGATGTACATGATCAAGTCATTCCAGTAAATTCCTTGGAAAAATATACGGAATTCATCAAACGAGTTATTCATATAATAAATTATCGTGAAATTTTCTCTAATGTTTATTGATTTCAAACTGAAATATCTTAATTTATTGAAATCATTTTTGTGAACTGCATTTCATTCATCCGTTATGCTACGTGAACCGGAAATGATACAGATAAAGATGTTGATTATATAATAATAATACTCGATAAGGTCGATGGTTATCGGAATGATGATTTCAACAAGGAAAATGTTTTACATAGTTGATCCTATTTAATATTCAGATGTATCACAGAATTGGAGGGAAAACAGTCAATAAATAAAAAGCATTGATCTCGATGTCAGTATTTGTTGTTGACATTAGTTTCCAAGATGCTTTTTTAATATTTCTCTGGAGGAATTCAGATGTCTTTTAAGTAGAAGGAGTGTTTTTCAGTGAAAAAAAAAACAATTTACTGCAAGCATTTTTGTTTTTAAGATAGACAACTGTCTTTCATTCTACTTCCGTTGCTTTGTGTGCTTGAAAAAAAGTAATTTTATATTAACTTGTTCAAAAACGTCCTTTTTTGATATAAAAAAGAGGAAAAAAAAGCAAAGTATGAGTATTTGACGTGCATAATTAAACATTTGAAAAAACTAACAAGTAAGGAGAAGACGTCATTCGGGAGAAGTGAAAACAATTGATTGCAGAAATGACGGAATCACCGATGAGCATCCCAGTTTATGAAGGTTCGATGTTATCACTTCGGAGTACGACTCCGTCCTTGGCTCGTTCGCGACCGATGACAGGTTTAGCCAAACGGTAAATGATCTGATTTGTTCAACAGATTTCGAGCATTTTCATCTGTAGAAAATCGGAACCGGAACCAAAATGGAAACGTGGCGATTTGGAATCAAAATATCGTTGTGTAGCATGTAGTAATTATTTGCGATTTCCCCTGCAGTTCGAAGATTGTGGTCATCATATTTGTTCGGGCTGTTTACCTGACATAATGCGGTAGTAATGGAAATGATAGGAGATAAATTGTTGATCTATCTTCTCTTCTTTAGTGTCTCTCCGCGTTGTCCGAGTTGCCAACAACCAATCGCTCGTGACAAAGTTGTCAATGACAAAGGACTACAACGAGATATTCAAAGCTTGGATGTCTACTGCTATTACAAAGATAAAGGCTGTGATTGGCAAGGAACATTGAAGGACTACATGGTAAGAAGACTATGGGAAAAGGTAAACTTGTGATGTGCAATATTTACAGGGTCATGTGGACACGTGCGGATTCGTCCAAGTGGATTGTACAAATGCCTGTGGCGTAAGATTTGAAAGACGTTTCGCTCCCAAACATCAGACTGAAGATTGTCCTAAGCGAACTGTTGTTTGTGAATTTTGTATGATAACTGAGACTGCTTACAATACAGAGAATTCACTTCTGTTTATTAAGGTAAAGGAAACATTATCTTTGAAGAGGAAATTCCTCATCTAAATACTTGTCCGGAATTCAAAGTCCCGTGTCCAAATGGATGTTCAAGTCAAGAATGGCCACGTGGTCAAGTATGTAAATCCATTCGAGTTGATACTAGATTTTCATAAGTTGCGCTTTAGATACAAAATCACTTGGATACTATGTGTCCAAAACAAGAATTATCTTGTCCATTTGGTGAATGTGGCTGTGAGTACCGTGGTCAACGAACAGAAATTACCAAGCATATGCAAGAATCGCCCGGTCTGCACTTAAATCTTGCTGGGCGAACTATCACAATCCAAAAGAAACTGTTACAAGCCTATGAAGAACGTACAAATGAACAAAAGAAATGGATCGAATTGTTATCTGTACGGGTCAATGCTTTAGACAAAACCTACGGAGCTCAATATATATGGAAAATCGATCATTATCAAGTACAATAGAAACGTTTCCATTAATCAATAAAAAAATCTTTTTTTGTCGTTTAGGAGCGCCTAGAAGAAGCGCGTACAGGTAAAAAAACCACACTGTTCAGTCCGCCATTCTTAACAAGTCGACATGGATATCGCTTGGCACTTTCGATTTGTCTCGGCGGTGATGGAAAAGGTAAAAGGAAACATTCATATCTGTTGAAGAGGAAATTAGGCATTCCCATTGACTTCTTTTAGCGAAAGGAAAATATGTCTCGCTATTCATTTGTGTATGTCGTGGTGAATATGATGCTCTATTATCTTGGCCATTCTCACATCGTGTGACATTCACCTTACTAGATCAATGTGAAGATGTTGATAATCGTCGTCCAATAATCTACAGTGTTAAACCAAATATTTGTAAAGAAAACAAGCCATTCTTAGGCCGACCGGTGACGGAACGTAACGCAAGCTTCGGTGCACAGAAATTCACAGATTTAGACACCATGGGCACACTTGAATATGTTAAAGATGATACGGTCTTTATCAAAGTCGAAATTGATAATGAAGATATGATCATTATATAAAGGCAGAGAACAGAGAGAAAGATTTTTATTATTTATTCGTCGCTGCTTTCTTGTGCAAATAAGTGACGAGAAACTCTTAACGTTGTCCTTCTTTTTTCAAATACAAATTAAAATAAAAGCACTCAGTACTGAAAAATAAAAAAATAATTTTGATTCGATTAACAAAAAAATAGAAAATAATAACAATCGTGACGAAATCTTTATTTTCGATTGACACAACGTCCTTGCATTTGACACCCAGGACGAAAGTCACATTTAGAGAAAAATCAAATTCCTTTCCGGCGAATTTGTTTATTTAGTCGATTAAAAAATTTATTAAATTTCTCTTTTTCTCGTGTTATCTTAGAAAAGAAACCGAGTGTAAGTTTGACAGAGTAAACTGAATATTAGTATCATTTAAATTGAAAAAAAACGATCGGCTCACTCGTTGTTCTCTTTCAGGGACGACAACCGTCTATAATTAGTGTGCAGTTCTTTGTCAACATTCATTGATTGTAGTAACGAAAGTGTAAAATGAAAGCGAGAAAGAGAAAAGAGAGGGTTGGTGAGAAGGTGAGAAATCAAAAAATGGCAGTCACATAAGCAGCACACATCGAGCATTATAACACGAGCAAAATCTTCGAGCTATAGAATAAGAAGTATTGCTTTTTCTTTTTCTTCTCGCTTTTTTATATGCTTGTTTCGTCATCTGCAACAAATGATTATCGGATGTCAACGATACCACCATCCGTGACTCCCCAATCGGTTCGTGTTCGTACACGAACGTTGAGACGATGTGAACCAGCATGGCCGTCACGAGATTATGTCCGACAAGAGAACTATGCTCGACGAAAAGTGCAAGAACATCAAGGTTGGACTTGTCCACGAACAATTCCGTACCAAGATGTTGCACCACCGGTCCTATCGCCGCGATCATCGAGACCGATTACTGTAAAAATCGATATATCATTTTGTGAATAATATATAATTCAACAATTGTTTGCATAACCTAGACTGAACAACCGGCAATTGTAATATCCGATAAAACAACTTCAAAAACGCAGAGTAGTGAAACATCAAATCGGCCGAAATCAAGTTCAACTGCGCAGGATGATCATTTGGTGAGAATAGTAAACAAAACAAATATAATATTTTTGTTTGTGTCACAGAGGAGATTACAATTTGAAACAACTCTTCGAGGTTTACAATCAGCACGGCAACAGCACATGAAAAAATCAAGGTAAAAAAGATTTTCATGTTTAATGGAATATTTCAATGATTTCTTGTAGCGATATTTTGAGAAGTGTCAAACTCGGTCGTAGTACAAAAGATGTTGTCGAGAAATTGTCTCGTAATGTAAATTTCACTGAATCTTATCTGGAACATGTTTATGTATTTGCCATGATCGTATATAGGAAAATGTTCGTGTACAAAGCGTTGAAATGAACAAACCGCTGAGTGCAGACAGTGATGAAAAAGATCAAGATGCATTATACGATCGATTAATCGATGATTTCGATGATGATGATGACGACGATGGAAGGTTACTGATCATGTGCATGTGTTTCTCTTAATTAAATATGACATTTGTTTTAGTGAAAGTGGTATTCGAGATGATATTATGTCACCAAGAACACTGGTTAATGCGCATACGACTAGAACAGATCCAACCAATGCACGCGATTTGCAAAAATCTCGTTTAGATGAGTAAGAGGTTCATGTTGAGAAACTTTTCTTCGCAAAAAATTTTGTTTTTCTTTCTCATCAAGATTATTGGAACATCCAGTGAAACTATGTCATTCAGCGCCACCATTGAATCGGAAAAATTTCAAAAGGGATATTATACGACCGTTTACACCACATTTCAATCGTCTTTCATCAAGATTACGTCTTAAAAGTCGAATGTCAACTCGGTATGTTCAATAGTGCAACTTCTATTTCCATTTCATTCTCTTTTCTAGCTTCAAAGACGCACTGTACCGTCAATTATGTTGCATATTATGGTTCCTACGTGCTATGTATTCGGCCCAGAAGGGAAAAAAAATTGGTGGATGCTGGAATATCGATCAATGGTAAAGACTTACATCTCTTGTTGTCTTTTGGAAAGGTATATACTTCTGTACTTTGAATTTAGGCAAGAGAAATCCAAGGGTGCATCCCGGACAAATACTGATCCGTCGGAAAATAGTTCTGAGCATCGCACTGATACATCACAAGATGAAACCATGTCATTCCGTCCACTAATAGATATACTCGATGATGTATAGAAATGAACACATTTTTCTACTTCCTATCGTTGCTCAATATATTTTCAGAGTATGAAAAAACCACATATACACGAGGATCCAAGAATGTTCGTCTTTCCTCAACCCAGCATTGGTATGTCTATTCGGACTTGAAACTATCGGTTTTCATGCGTAGGTCATTTTTCTATTGAAGATAGTCAAAGCGGGACGCAAGTTTCAACTGATAGTGACGAAATATTTCACTTGCCAATCGATTCGATTTCTTATGGTCGTGATTTAAATGAATCAGCGTCTTCAAGAAGCCATCATGAAGATCTGATGCAGAGCGTCAATTTAAACAGCAGCCAACCAACGGCAAATATACCGAGAAGCTCTGCAGTATCAATCAGTTTAACGAGTAATACCAGTCGGGCATCCTTTTCAAGTGATGTGAGTGAACCACCTGGTGGTGGTGGTGCCATAGCCCGTATACCGTCAATCCTCGAACAACGACGTCAACCCAATGCATTACTTAAAAAATGGGTTCAAAACCAAAAAATCACCATCAAAACGTCGAAAAATGCGTTACCCATACCTCTGCCTTTGGCTGTGAGTGACTTGCTACTAAGGTTTTACATGCGATCGAAAACTATGAACTATTTTCTAGGATAAAGAGATTCGTTTATTGCGAGTGGGTGATGCAAGTGACTTAAATCATATATTTGGTCTCGAGAATGCGACGAGTACGAGTAGAGAACGAGTGAGGGCACGACAGAATCGTGAAATCGAACAAAAACTGGTTATAAATTTACGACGTCGATCTGCGAGCAATATCGGGTAGAAAATGCTGAGTTTATTTTAGAAAAGATGTTTTCTGTGTGTGCTTTTTTTAGTGTTTTTCATTCAAAAGAACATGCAGAAAGATTACACAGTCTCAAACGCGAATTCGATGAGTTTACCGAAGAAAAAATGACCACTTTAAATAATAGACTTCAACAAATCGATAAAAATCGTCTCTTCTATTATCAAAGCAAATTAAATGACATGCAGAAACTAATGCCACGATGTACTTTGAGTGAAAAATTATTAGCACAATTACGTTTTGACAAAGACAAACAAAAACAAAATGCCATTCATCTCAGATATCGACCATGGTAACTATCTCATCTTCATCCAGTGCATTCTATTTCATTTCCTTTCTGAATAGGTACATCGATTTGAAAGAAATGGTCGAACCGGAATATCGCGACAACCAGTTAATATTGTGTCTCTTGAAAGAGATGAGAGAATACGCTGATGTAAGATATCTTTTCCTCTAAACTATGAAATTTACTCATTTGTAACGTCGTTCTAGCCAAGTCATGTACCGACTGCGATTCGATTTAAGAACGTTCTTCAAGACTTGAAGCCTCATGAGATATGCCATCCGGATATTATGGCCGCGATAGAATTCACTCGTGTTCATATCGTCGAAATGGGAATAGAGGAGTTCGATTCATTTTTCCGTAAACAATTTCCAGAAGCTTCGAAGTATTTGAACATGGATGAAGAGAGTAGTGTGATAAACAATAACGAGAAAACCATCTGATATATGAACTGATTTTGTATTTATATTCTGATACTTTTGCTTAATAAATAGCTGTAATGAATCTTCCTTTCTAAATTTGCTGACATAATTAGAATAGAAGTGATCTGTCGCTCTATGGAAAAGTCAAATGATATAATGCGCTGACAACTAACGACAACTACGAACATCTTCTGAAATTTAACTGTTAAAGTCATTGTTTTAAATCAAATCAAATCTGACGAAGTCAAACACAATGAACGAGATGAAAAATGGAACCGTTACTGGCGAACAAAGAATTGTCGAGCAGACTGAGATAGTCTGTTATGTTCAAGCCAAGACATTTTTCGATACTATCACATTCGGTGGCATTCATATGTTTTGATCTAATTTCAGATGAGTTTATCACAGGTGAAAATAGATAAATTGTGGACTCGTGTTGATCCATCAGCTAAACCTAATCCTTTTTTGAATAGCCAAGAAATCAAAGTATTCTCTTTGATAGTGATTGCAATTGAAAATGAAGAACTTTTTCAAATTTAGACTACAACGACAAACACGAATGTTAAGATTCCGTCTGTTACACAGCCAATTCATCGTTGGCGACCAAATCAGCCTCTATTTACTCTTCCACCCCTTACAAAAAATACACATACGACTACATCTATGCGAACAATTCAAGTAATTGATCCGATTATCACACCGAGTGTACCCATCAGTAGCTTAAAACATATGCAATCAGCTCAGAATCTATTCAGTATTGGTAAACGTATGCCAGAGGTTGAATTGGCTTTGAAACAATTGATTGCTGATATGGAAAGATGTCCGCGGCCAGAAGAGGAACTACCACAACCGCTATCTCTTCGTGATGTAACATTACATGGTTATCAACGACATGCACTTGCTTGGATGCAATGGCGCGAATCGAATTCACCTTATGGAGGTAAATAATTTACATCAGAATAAACTGTCTATTCCGTCTGAATGCTTTCTCTCTGTTATTAGGAATCCTCGCCGATGACATGGGGTTGGTGCTTTTTGCTTATATGAAACAATGAATCAAATTTCTATTCTTCTTAGATTGGGTAAAACAGTTACGACCATTGCATTTCTTCAGCTCCGAATGAATTCTATAAAAACTCAATCTTCTGAAGAGATATTCGACACAACAAAGTCTAATCTAATTCCGACAACATTAGTTATTTGCCCGGCAACTTTGATGAGTCATTGGGAAAGTGAAATCAATAAGTATAGTCGTATGAGATGTTTCATTTATCACGGGTCAACGCGGAAAAAAGATATTCCAACTGGTGGTGCAACTCGTGCTTTTGGACAGTATTGTGTCGTTCTAACATCTTACGAATTAGTACGAGCTGAACATACAGCTGAAGGAGCGAAAGTAAAATACAAATTCGATCGTTTTTCAAAACAAATCTTTCTCGCTTTAGAATCCATTATTTTCTGTCAAATGGCAACGAGTTGTTCTTGATGAAGCTCATCGAATACGTTCACACAAATCTCAAACAGCTCAAGCATGTTCAGCTGTCGACGCTATTTATCGATGGGCATTAACTGGCACACCAATACATAACAAAGCTGATGATTTCTATTCTCTTCTAAACTTTCTTCATTATTCACCATTTGATGTTTATTCCACGTGGAAATTATTCTCATCGAATCAGTATAAATCGATTGAACGAATGAAAACCATCGTTCGTGCATTGATTCTTCGTCGGACGAAAACCGATTATGACTTAAATGGGAAACTACTTGTGCCGTTACCATCCAAACAAATCGAAATTATTTGGTTGAAATTAACCGATGAAGAAATGAAACATTATCAACGCGTCAAAGTCGAAATGACCGATGCATACAGATTATTCATTCGAAATCGTCGCGAGAAGAAGAAAACAAATACTGTAGTTCTTTTCACACTCATGTAAAACTCGACTTGTCTCAATTCAAATGAACATTATTGTCTTCTTTGCAGGTTGAAGTTACGTCAAGCATGTAATCATTTATCGTTAGTTAAAGATCTATCGACTGACGATGTATTTGATGATAAAGATGATGTTGCACTGGAATTATCCATGTTCAAATTGGATTTGAACGATACTTTCAATGACAAGAATATCCAAGCCCTTGCCAAAGATGCTGAACTTCAATATGATATGACATTCATGAGTACGAAGTTGGACTGTCTTTTGAAGAAGATTCATATGATTGTTAATCAACTCGGCGAAAAATGTAAGGAAAACAACACGTTGGATTTAATGATTGTCTTTGAATGAATCGTTTATTCGTAGGTGTCGTTGTCTCATCATGGGTAGGCATGCTGAATATCGTTCGACATCATTTAAAGAAAAATCTTATACGCTCACAAACGATCAGTGGTGAAGTGAAAATTCCTGATCGACAGGCGATTGTCCAAGCATTCAATAGCGATGAAAATGCTTTTATGGTAAAATTCTATAGATCTACTAGAAATAGAGATGCAACTTTTCAATTGAAGGTTCTACTTCTATCATTGAAAGCCGGTGGTGAAGGTCTTAATCTTGTTGGTGGTAACCATCTCTTCTTATGTGAACTTTCTTATAATCCACAAAATGAGCAACAAGCATGTGATCGAATTTATCGAAGTAATTAAATATCATTTGATAATCGATTCAATTGAAATTCTCCTTCTTATTCTATTAGTTGGCCAACGAAAAGATGTGCATATTTATCGGTTAATGGTGAAGAATACAATCGAAGAACGAATTAGTAGCTTGCAAGAAACCAAACTGAAACTAGCTGGGGATGTACTAGCTGGTTGTATAGATAAATTCAGTTTGCGATTAGAAGACATTGCTTTTCTATGCTCATAAATACGAACACGATTCGATCGTCAACAAACCTCAATTGTTACTCTTTCTTATTCATACTAAATTTGTACAGTTATTCATTTTCTTCAAATAGATACAATACATATTTTTTCGAATAAAACGAGATTAACTTAAGTTATTCATTTTGTACACATTCGATTATCTTTTTTCGTATTACATATACATACATATATATGAACATAGGATATTTTTAAAAAAAGGATAAACATTTAGTTAGAGAAATTTGTTATGATTTGTTCGTTGGTTAAACATTGAGGATAGAAAAAGATTCAAAGAGTTATACCATTTGGTGAGCAATAGGCAAATGGCCACCATGCGAATGACAATCGACTACAATCATCATCGTTGGGGGAAGTTAAGCAATAATAACGTATAATTACACTCCAAAGAAATAAAACGATTGAACAACTTGTTATTATTGTACACCATTGTAATCTAGAGAGGAATGTATCACGGTGAGAACGTTAGAATACAACAAACCCTATACCTTTTCAAGACACGTTTTACTCGAGTTGGTCGGACGTTTTTAACTGTTGCAGATCGATTGGATTTTTTCTCAGTAGTCTTTGAAACGGCATCTTCTTTCGTCAATGTTCGATTAAACAATGAATCGAATTCAAGGGCCATTGATGAGATATCTTCATTTAGTTCCGGCGTTGGTGAACGGCTGGTCGTGCAATTTGTTGATGAATTCAAACCAGAGTCACTGGTTGTTATTGCTGCTCCACAGGGCGATGACAATCGTCGAATATGTTTTGATGGCGAGTCCATTTGATTAAGTTCAGGACTTGAACGCGATCGATTTAAACATCGACATGGTAGCGATGCTGACGCCGAATTAAACAACTCGCCATCCTCACGAAGTAATTCTATTCGAAAAAGAAAGTCATGCTGGACAGTTTGGAGCACAATTTACCTCGAACGGAATGATACGGACAAACACCATTTGTTAAATTCTTTTTAAAAACGAAAACAAGGGTTCTAATTATTACCAAGAGAGTCGAAGAAGAAGCAGTCTTACAGATACACTCTGTTGCGGATGATTTTTCCTGTGTGTTAACATTCCTGAAGAGAAAATTGTCGAAAGAATATAGAACTAGTTGTTTTAACATACCATTTTCATCGAATTGCTCTTGCTTTTCTCTGCAACGAAATAATTAATGTAGAACTTTGAAGAGTTTGATCGCTTACTTTGCTTTCGAAGTCATTTTTTGTACTTGTTTTGTGAGAAAATGGCATTTTAATCTCTGTGCCTTTTCATCGCCTTGTAATTTGAATAATTGTTCTTCTAAAAGACGAATCTTTTCATCAAATAATTGTTCTTTAACTTTCAGTTCTTCGATTGTTTCATGATATTCTTTCAAAGTAGAAATAACATTTGAAGAAGTCACATTTGTTTGACTTGATTGAGAGATTTCGTTCAATTCTATTTGAAATTTCTGTTGTTTATCTAAATCCAAAAATATCACATTGAAATTCTATAAACATTTTCAATTAAGTAGATCTTTACGTCGACTTGCAATCAGTAATGTTTGTAGTTTTCTAAAACGTCCTTCAAACACGTCTTTATTGTCAATAATCTTCTTTATTAAGTTCTTAATGATTGATAAATGTTTTTCAATTAGAGTTGAGGTGGTTGAGATACTCTCCCGATCTTGTTCACATTGAATTTTCTCATTGAGAATCGTTAAATGTTCGTTGATAGTCATTCCATTCACATGTAATTCATGAAACTATTGAAAAGAAAGACAAATCATCACATAAATACTAGTGCAAACGATCATAAACACACCACATCTTTCAAATGAATGGAATTGAAACTATCACTTTTCGATAGAAGAATTTGAACTTCCATATCATCAATCGTTTCCATGTTCGACGAGTCCAGACATTGAGAAACACATTCGTTTGATATATTATCCTATGAGACACTGAAATACAATCGAGAATTCATATATTACAGCACTTACCATGGTATTGATTTCAGCAAAAAGCGATTGACCATTAGAAATTGTGACGCGCCGTGAAACATCAACACGTTCTTCCAGTTCATCACAAAGGAAACTTTCTTCTTCACATAGATTTGAAAGAGATAAACGTGCTTCAATTGATTCCATCTTTGCACTAAAACTATGCCGTAGAGTTTCTTGTTTAGCGTATCTTGATAACATACTTTCGTAATTGTTGACGAAGTTCTTCCAAGTTCTTCTCCAAATTCTCATTTTTTCTCATTGTAGTCTACAAAAAGACACGTATTCTATCGATTAAACTCAATATTATCTTGCTATCTACTTGATTTTCAACATTCAAATCATCGATCGTTTTTCGCAACGAATGAATAACTTCATTATTCTATAATAAACCAAAATGCAACGATAGAAGTACATTCAAATCATTCGGTTTTTTTATACTTCTTTCAATTGATTTTGAATAACTTTCATCTGTTCTTCTAATTTCTCTTTTTCATTCTATGAAACATCAATAAACTGTATGAGAAATCTCAATTGTACGTCAAGATCTTACTCGTTCTTTCTTCCATTCACATTCAACTTCACTTAACTTGTTCACACATTGATTTCGTTCGTCTCGAATGATTTGTAACTGATGTTCAATATCAATTAACTGCTCTTGCAGTTCAAATCTTTCTCGTTCACAACTTTCATTCTCTTCCTTCAAAACGCGATTGGAGGTTTCTAATTGAGTCTTATACATGTGTAAATCCACATTTTCGTTTGCATAACGCGTACTACGATTAAGCTCGTCTTCTAATCTAAAAATCAAAAAAAAAACTTTTCTCTCGAATCATTTTCGAACGTAAAAACATACGAAAGCTTTTTCTTTTGCATATCTTCGTATTGTATTTGTAAACGATGGTGATCATCATCAAGCTTCTTATATTCGTCTTCAAGCATATGTAAGCATTCCGTTTGTCGTCGATGAACCTCCATCAATTCATTATAATCAACTCTGCATCTAGAAAAAAAAACAAATTCTTTGCTACGCTTGGTGATGAGAAATGTCAACAAACTTTTCGTGATCGATTGATTTTCGTCGTAAATCGAATGAATTGGATGAAGCATCATCACTTGTATGTGACTCGATATTTTCTTTGTTTCTTCGCTTCTTCGACGACGACGAAGAATTAAGTGACATCGATGAAATTGATTTTGATACTGGTGTACTTATGCTCGATTTTCTAAAAGATTAGTCTTATCAAAATTTGAATTGTTTGATCAAAAATCAAATATTTACTCAACAAGTTCAGAATAAAGCTTTTCAACAGCATTGAATAATTGATCGAATGTCACTTGTTGATCTGATCCACCCAGTTGATTTAATAAAAAAGCAAAATCCAATTGATTCGTTAACTTCAAAGAATCACTTTTTTTTACAAACAGTAAACCAATTGTCAATTCAACTTACGAAATCAGAATTTTGTTCAGTTACAAAACGAAAATGTCGAATAAGTTCCCCTGCATTAACACGTTGATTTTTATCGAGTACACACGAATTGAATATGTGTTGTAAACTAATACGTTGTTGAGACGTCTCGGATCGTATGTTAAGTGATTCAGTTGATAAAGCCTTTTGACGATTAATTACTGGCGATGTCATTACAATCGTCAAGAACAAAATGAAATTCTATTTGATGAAATGAAATGAACGAAAAAGAGAAAGGAGAGAGAGAGAAAAAAAAGTTGACACAAACGAACAAAGAACTCAATTATGAGAATAGGACGATTTCTCTCACGGTTCATTGTGAAATATTATTCAATAGAAGAGAATAATAGAGAGGATCGTTGAAAATTTTTATCAAGATTCTTCAGCTATAATTGAACAAAAAATTATAGATGTCATTAATATCTGAACAATACGAAATGAAAGACTTTCGAATTTTACCATAAAATATCACTCTTATAACCTATGTACAGACAGTGCTTGGTAAGAAGAGAACAAAAGAAACAATGCACTGATTTACTCTGCTTACTTACAATTTTTGACTGAATAATGTCTGACGAAGACATTGGCATTATTGTCATTGCCCAATCATCTACCGACTGAGATTAACAATCATCGAAGTATACTGCAGATGAGTGATCAAACGTTTGTAATCGTTCCAAAACTTCAATGTAATTTGTGTTTACAGAGTATTGCTAAGATTGATACAACAAGGCAGGACAAAGATAGTAAATGATAGGTGATAGACAGGATGCGCCTGTATTTGCATCGTGTATTCAACATTCAGGAGAATATCTATGTTATGAATGTGGAGAACCGTCAACCAGTCGACTATGCCGCCATAGTATTTTTGAGCTGAAACTATGAGACACCTTCTAAGTGTGAACTATTAATAATATAAAGCACGAATAATTCTTGAAAAACGATCTGGTTTGAAATTACGTGGTCTTCTCATTGAAAATGGTTGGATTGATCCTGTTTCACATTATAGATCATATTTATCATTTTCAAATGCAAATAATTTAGAAGAGAAGAACTCTACACTCTATGATCATATCGAAAATCAAGTTAAACAATGTGAACAGATACTTTTTGATCAAGCACACGTTTTGGATAAAACATGTGATCTTATTCTCAAGGAGATAATACGATACGATGCAATGAATAACTATTATAGAACTCGTCAAACGGGGAGATGTGTCAATGTTTTTGATATTTGTCTAGATGACACAATACTTGCCTGTGGGGAAAATTGCCCATCAGACTTGAAATATGTCACATTTTATTTGCAACGACAAGATGTTTTGTGATGTTAACATATTAATGGTGCAAACTTAGGATGGATGAAATGATCAGATTCTGTTCTTAATACATTTTATGCTGGTCATTCTCAACCATCGATTAAATTATTATCTGATTTACTTTAACAAATTCCAATTGTACTTTACAATGGCGATTATGATTTGGTTTGTAATCATTGAGGAACTGAGACAGCGCTAAATACTATAAGTTGGAACAATGGAACTGGTTTTGATTCGGGAAATGGTAAATTGACTTTACCAAAATCGCGGATTGTCGAAGGCGAATCAATGGGACTTGTTCGAAGGGCACGTAATTTAACTTATATTCTCACACCCTCATGATATTCCATTATTTCGATCAGAAACTTGTAATATTGAACGAAACCAATTGATGTTTTTCTCAGTTTTAGATGATTCATATGTATTAGATAATGAAAGTTTCGTATAATATTAATCAAATCCTTCGAAAATTTCTTTTTTGCTTATGTTATAGTAGTTACTATTGATAATTAACTTTTTTGTTTATTATAGATTAAACGAAACTAAATCGATATGATTCTAGAATTTATCAATTCCTTTAACAACACTACTAGACGTATATTGAGGACAGCAGCATGAAAACTACCTAACGATGAATATTCTGCAAATATTTCACTGCATATTAGTTTTCTTAAAATCGTTTTCATCTTATCTCATTGAAAATTCAAATTCATTTTCATCTTTTTCTATTTCTGAATATCATCATATGATAATATGTTATCTTTAAGCACATCAACATTTCACTGTTAATTCGTACAGAGAAATACACACACGTTTGAAGGTGAGAAAAATAATGTAATAAAAAGAGAAAGAACATACATTTCATAAATTTCAATTGTTTTTTTCAATGTTATCAGATAGTATATCATTATCATTATCATCCAGAGTTGCCAACAACACTATAACTACCACCAAAAGATCCATAGCTGGCAGTAGTGATGCCGTTTCGAGTAGTACCTGTATAACTACTTTGACCAGGTAAAATTTTGACGACGACTGTAGTTGTCACTCCGTTTTGAGCATAACCAGCATGTACAGCAGCAACATTAAGATTTGAATCATCTGTATAAATATCTGAGCCCCAAACGCCTCCACCCAAAGATCCTGTTATCGAAAAAGAATAATATTGTCCATTATTGCCTCGATAAGTATAGGGACTTCCGCTTCCTGCTATTACGTCTAGAATGAAAGATTTAATCATATATAAACATAAAAAGAAAGAAGATACAGATTGAATTATGATTTTCCATTGATAATTCGTTCATCGTAAAAAAACAGTATTGAACTGTTGATTTCATCCAGTCAAGATATGAGAAAGGAAACGAGGAAACTGAGAATCAAAACTTCGCAAATTTGGTTTTCCTGATAATATAAAAAACAGATGTTTTTCGGAAAGGTCAAAATCAGTAAAATACCTAATCTTCAAACATTTCATGAGAGTGTATTTCATTCATGAATAATTCCATCAAAGATCTTCAATGAAGTCGAATCCAATCGAATAGATACTTGTAAGAAGCTCAAAAATATGTTGAAAAAAAGTATGGAATGAACTATTGCTTCTCTTTCGTTAACATTATATGGCGGTTCTCTCAATGAAACTTTAGCTGACAACATGTAACTGAATCTTCACTATGTTTTTTGTGCAATTTACAAACATTTCTTGTTGAATTTGCAGAAATGACATTTAAATATAGACTTAAATTATATACACAATGTTGATAAGACTTCATAATTTTTCATATAGAAAAAACTCAGATATAAAGTGGATATTGAAATCTTAATTCCTTCTGCGATATCAATATGAAATTATTTGTCAAATACTAATTAAAAGTTTCAAACTGAATCATTTGCACTAATCATTGGCTTTGACTTACTAGATATTGTTGATGAGGCTGTCGATGGTGTTGATGTTGTGGATGTTGTTGTTGTGGACGTTGTGGATGTTGTTGTCGGTTCTATTTTAGAAAATTAGAATTATAAATAGAGAAGAAGATCGGATAAGATTTTATTCTTTGATTCTTTCTAAAAGTTAAATATTTACTAACCAGGTGGATTTCGTGTTCCAACAATGACAATCATAGTAATAGTATTTGTATCAGCTAACATATTTCCATTTGGATTTGGTATATTATCAAATAATTGACATGTCGAAGTTAGTTGATGAAAAGTAATTGCTCGACAATAAGTTTGAGCTAAGCAATTCATTTTACATTTGAGAATGTTCGATACAATATTAGTGACAAATGGCAGACAAGTTGTATTAGCACATTGAAATGTCGAATTAGTTATTTTTGACATACGACATAATCGAATATCTTGTTCAACTGATTGTTTAATAAGAAAAAGAAGAATTGACAGGCAAATTCTTCCGTAGTTCATAGTCAACTGTATTTCAAGGTAAAAAGCACTCGACTGAATAGTAAAATTGACTTCTTTTTTTTAAATTAACGTTTGACTTTCTCTTTGTTCAAATGCAATTTGGAAACAAAAATGCATACGTTTCCTAGCAAATATAAAAGGAAAACGGCAAGAAATACGTGTAAGAAATATTTCGGTTATTTAATAGATTAATAAAGAAAAAAAGTCATTCTCTTGAAAAACAATCTCGTGGAATTTTTTCGCTCCAGAGAACAAACAACATTATTCTAATCAAGTAATGTCTTCCCACTTCTTCTTTTTATTGGTGTTATATGATTAAACGTATACTATGCAAAGAAAATTACATAGGGGAAAAGATTGGTGTTGGTTATGACAAGAAAAAAGTTATGACAATGTATCATTTAAAAAGAAAATTTGTTTCTCTTCACTAACGATAATAAGAAGAAACCATCAAATGTGAAAGTCATAATTCCAAAAATGTTTTCAAGAAACATATTTTAATTAGACAAAACCTAACAAATATGTAGATATCGTTAGCGTATTAAAACAAAAACATCGAATGTTCAGGATTGATAATCCATAAAAAATCCCGAAATCCGTACTTTCCCCTCTTCTAAATTTCTGTATATATTAACAAAAGTTACAGCGAATTTGGAATTCAATGGCAACACGTTACATCCTCATCCTCAAGACACTTATGATTTTAGAATAAAATTACCAAATCAACATAAACAAGTAAGAATTTCAAGTTTAATTCAGTTCTAAATCAACTGAACGTATATACGAATAAAATCGTTTCATAAACTTCTTGAACAAGAAATAAGTTATTTTGATTGAAATGAAAATTCATCGGAATCGATAACAACTCGTTTATCAGATGACGTATCACGTCTTCAACAAATAACTGGAATACGTTTAAGAATTATTTGTGAAGTTATTGATACATTGATCTTTGAATTTATTATTTATCGGTTTTTATTCAACTATTATCGCAAGATAAAGGAGATAAGTGTTCAAATCAAATTCTTCTTAAAGCTAATTCAGTAATATTATTATTTGATTAATTATTATTATCTATTTTACATGATCGTTGAAGTTATTCGAAATATTCGTTGTATCTTCATCAAGCATCAAAGTTTGTTTTTGTTTTATTAAATTCTTCATTGAAAATATTTCTTCTTATTTGTTGTTTCCATGAAGTTAATCAATTCGGTTTCAATACTTGTTCGACATGATCGCGAATTGTCACTTGAACATTTTCGAGCTATACAAAGAAGATCAAATCGAAATAAACGAAAATCATCTGTAACGCCTTCTTCTTCTTCATCATCATCGAACTGATCAGCAATTGGATGAAAATCTTTGATTCTATATTTCATTGCGCATGATAACGTTCCAGTAACAATTGGCGCATCGTCAGATAGTCGAATTGATGTATATGTAATGCCACTATTGTTCGGTTTGATTGCTGAACATGTGGTGTATGATGGATATTTTCGAAACTATGTATGTGATCACTTGATCATCGAATCCATTTTTTTATATTAAACTAAATGAAAAGATTGAAAGTGAGATTTCATACAGGTTTGATTCGACAACGTAGTCATCGTCATTTTTGCTTAAGATTGCAGGCGATAATGCTTTGCTTCTTTCGTCGAGAAACTGCGGACGCGCTCTGTCGTCATAACCATTGATTCTAAATGGTCAATGCAGACACTTGAAACAAAGAAATGTTTTCTGGTTGCGCATATGTTTACCATTTGTTTTTCGCGTCATTTGATCCCAAAATATTGTATCTTTTTGTTTAACCCTTTGACTTCTTCTGTTACAAATTGAGATTTAGCTGTTGTGCAAAGTAACTCACATTGTAAACATACGCGTATAACTTGAATTTAATTGCTTTAGTATTGACGGTGCATGCGGATGGCGCGAAAGGTGCGTTTCAAGAATAGTTCAACTCAACTTTCAAGTTTGACATGACTGCAGTATACAGAGATGTCACTCGTTAGCGTTCACGCTGACGAAAAATCTGATAAAGTTTTAAAAAGAAGAGTAGGACAAGTAGAGTTTTCACTTACGATATTAAAATAACTATAACATCCGCATCATTTTATCGGAATAGAATAATATTTGGAAAAAATCTTTTTCTATGACAACTTAAACGAGTATGTCTTCGTCCAGTAGTTCTAATATTAAAAGACGTAAAAAACAAATGGACCCATCTCATGCTCACGTTATTTTACCGACTAACGCCACAAGTGCTGTCAATCCACTAGCTGCTACAACTCCCACGGCAGTTGTCCGAAATACGGTCGTACAGACGAATCGCGAAGGTGAACCAGTTCAATATACAGAAATCATATCAAAGGGAAAAGAACACGAATCGCAATCATCAACAAAAGATATGACAACAACGAAAGGTGATCAAGATTTAAAGCCAAAAGAATATATCCTGAAGGAAGCTGATATTTACAAGCCACTCGCTGTTGTTTCGGACTCGACGCCAGTAACTAACGCAAATAATCAAATTGTTGGCTCAACAGCGTCTGGTAGTTTGACTACGCCAGGTAAAATTGTTGGTGATTTGGAAACAGTCGTTGCAGAGCATAGTAAAGCTATAGTAGCAGAACCCGTAACAGACAAAGTAACAAAAGGCGAGACAAACGAAACGAAAAAATGATCAGATGCTTTTGTTCAATGAATATTGAATTTAATGATAATTAATCAAGCATTTCAGATTCTTTGCACTTTCATGTTATAACTATTTATCGTGTATTTTCACTGGCAATGTGTTTGAATAAATTTTTATACTAACCACGCATATGAAACATGCTCCAGCTGTTTATAGTTAAGCTTCTGTTTTTCTACTCTCAAAATACGTTTTACAACACTATTAGAATCATTTCATACACTTGTTTTCGTATACTTTGTCTTTCACATCATTTCGTAAGAAATATCATATGACCATCTATGATCAAAATAATCGTTTTTGATAATCCATCCAAACGATATATTACATGATAGCAAATACACCAAAGGTTATAGTCCACTCAAAACACTCGTGAAAAGTAACATGATATTAATGACGTTAATAAAATTTTTATCGTTAAACATAATAATCAAACGGATACTCGTACAATTGTACGACGAACAAACAAATAAAAGTTTTATCGTCGTACTGCGAACTAATCGGTCGAAAATCAAATTTAGTGTTGCTTGCATTGCCGGGGAGAGGCATGCATCTTTTTATTGAAATTTACAAAAAGAAAAGAGTGGGGATAAAATCATAGAATCATCGGCAATACTACAATGCCATAGATTTACAAGTATAAGAAGCATTAAAATTGTTCATCTGTTGGTGTTTCTAAGGTGGTAATAAATAAAATAGATAACGATACTCAGCGGAGCTATTGAGGTCAACGCATAACCGACGATTTGAAATAGCAATGGATAGACAAATGATTCATACGAAATCAAGCTCACGGTACGAAATGCTATGGCCAGCATACTGAACAGCCATATCGGCACAACAATAATCCAGCAAAGCCATATATGTGTTAGACGACGTTTTAAAACTTCACTAAAAGAAAAAAGAAATCATTAATGTTTCTGAATTTCGATGCGTTACTTTACCTAATATGTGTGATGAATGTCTGGCCAGGCCACTGCGGTGGTGGACATTTTTGAAACCATGATTTGAATGTTGTGCGATAGGCAAAGAGAACTGTCGTTAACTGTGCAATACATATAATTAGCAATGGTAGAGCACCACAAATGTAACCATCAAAGATATTAAAGATGTAGAATCCAGCTCTAGTAGTCATGAGAAGACCGAATGAAAATGAAATTAGAACATAGACAGCAACAACCAATTCTCGTCGAATTTTTCGTCTTTTAGGTGATCGTTCGTACCATTGATCGAGTTTATCGAGTGTTGCTGTAAGCACTAGAAATGCAAAGAATTTAATGAGAAAGAAAAGAAACTACTGTAGAACTCTATTCGTACCACTTTCACATGTAACAAATTGCGAATCGATACCAAGTAAGAAAATCATAAAAAAGAATGTTATTGCCCAAAAATGTGGTAACGGCATAAGACTAATTGCTTTCGGATAAACAATAAATGCAAGACCGGGTCCACTGGACACAACTTGTTCAATAGATACATTAGCTTTATGGCTCATAAAACCCAACACAGGAAATACAACAAAACCACTGAAGACATTCGTCAATATGCTTGTTGTACCAGTTACAGCAATATCACGATAGAAATTATAATCAGGCCGGTTATAACTTGACAGAGCCGGAATAATACCCCAGCCAATACCATAAGCCCAAAGAACATGTCCTAAGAGATAAAAAAAATTCTTTAGAAAAGCTTGGCTTCATTGTGAAGATAGTTTTCACCTGCTGCTTGTATCCATGCTTTTTTATTTAATAATGCTTGTCCGTTAGGTACTAAATAATATTTTAAACCACTCCAAGCACCGTCTAGCGTCATTCCTCGAATAAATAATGCAATCATTGGTAGGTACGGGAATAAAGCTGTGAATATGGCCACACGGCTTGTTAATTTAATACCTTTCCATAAGCATAGGTAAATAATTGTCCACATGACTACTAAACCAACAACACTTGGCCAATGGAATGTTGATAGACCATCAAAATCGTCTGATACATTGATAATCGATGTATTCCAAAAACGCTCAACTGAACTGATAATACTTGTTGTTGTGTTCATCTGTAATGCGTCATCTCCTAATAAAAATATTATAAAAAAAACACAGATCGTTACATAACGAAAGAACATTATCAAAAGAGAAACCTTCGATTACCTACTTCATCGCTCCACGGTAGTCGACAACCGATGGAGGCAAATGAATGATAGAGATAGAGTCCACCCCAGACCATAATCATGACATAGTATAGAGCACCAAAGAACGATATAGTTACTGAAGCAATACCGATTCCACGCATTGCTGGCGCAAATTCCCAACAACCGACGGGACCTTTTCGTGAAAATTGACCAAGTGCTGTTTCCATCATTAGCAACGGAATACCACATAGGACACAAATAAGTACATAAGGTATGACGAAAGCAGCACCACCATTCTGAAACGCCAAATACGGAAAGCGATAGAGACTGCCTAAAATAGAAAATTACGATTAATCATCGATTATTAGTTTTCACATCGTTCGTTATCACTGCATTTGTACAGATTATTATTATCAGTCTATTGACACATGCAAAACGATACTTTACGTTTAGTATCAGTTTTCAAATTCGCTGCGACCTTGACTACGAACGGCTCGATTTGAAAGTGAACTTAGCTAAGTAATCTTCGCCTAGGTATTGAATTATGCTTGCTTATCTTACCAAGTCCGATAAGTCCGCCAAGCGTGGTAATTAGATAATCACAGTTATTCGACCATGTTTCACGTGTATCTTCTTCGCCAAGAATTGGTTTTCCGCTGGAGTTTGAAGGATTATTTACAATAATTGTAGTTGCATTCGGTTCTGGTTCAACTTCAGCGATATCACGTGACGATTCAGAATAATCGTCGAAATTGATGCGTTGTTGCAGCGGTGTTTGTTGTTGTTGGTCGGTAGTAAGCAAAGAAACAAACATGCTCGCTGAATAAGATTTCATCTTAACAATTTAATCAAATCGAACATCATTTCTTTGTTATGTTTTATTGGACTTTGGATGCAATGATTTATTAGCGACGAAACGATATAAATCCTCGGCCATGAGTCTACACACCCTATTCCTCTTTCTTTCTCTTTCTTTTTCACATAAATAAGAGAACGATAAACATAGCTTGGTTAACAACGTATGCACTCTGTTCTTTCCTTTCCCTAACAAAATATTTTTTGTTCTTTCATCTCATACAATGCATAGAAAACGTCTTTTCTTTCCTATAGAAAAGAATTTCAAGAACGCATAGAAAGGGAAAAAACTCAAACGAAGCTTGGATCGTGCTTTTACTGCTTCAATACAGTTCGTTTTTGTACACCTGTACTCTATAGTACTGTACGTGTTGTACAAATGTCAAACTAGTAGATGATTCATTTACTACTAGTACTGCGTGTCAATCGATCCAGAATGAAAATACTCTCTTCGTTAGATGTCAGCGTATGACGTATAATAGTCCTAAGATCTAATTTTACATGTGCTCAGAGGAAATATTTCTACCCGAGCTATGCCAGAATCTGTTTTGTATTCGATAATATATGATTGAGAAAAAAAAGGGAATCAACATCATGAGTAGAAAGAAAATATGTGAAGATATGTAAGAATTTTTTCTCATATATATGCGTTGGCATTCTACCATAAACTTTGCTCTTTGAAGTACCAGTGATATATTTGTGGATTATTATGATCCAAAGTGCAAATCTCTGTATTGACATCGTTTCATGTAGATCAAGACGAAGGAGATACTCGCCCGATCAAGAATGATTTGCATATAAATCAATCAGAGCGTAGATATGACGAAGAAAATCTTTTACTAATGATTTATACGCTTAACTATTTGTTTCTTGTGAAAGTTATCTATTATACAAATGTATTGCATTATGTGTCACTCATATTGATTTATAATCGCAATGAATCGAAAATAATGTTTGGAAAAGAACGAATACGTTTTCATTTGCTGAATACATGGTTATAATCTTAAAGAATTCGGAGAAGAAGAAGAAGAAACAATGACGATAGGAATCCGCATTCTTCTACATATATTGTCCAAAGACACAGTGAAACAGCATGTTGACACATCTCATATAATAAAGAACAAATTATGTATTCCGATTATTCCTCATTCGAACAATGGGGTGCGTGCATTTCAAGGAGGCAGGAGTTGATCTTAGTCGATAGGAAGATGTGATGGTATATTAGGTAGAATGTTAATCATAATATATTTATTGTTGAGAAAAGGAAAACAGAAACGAACCGCATGTCATCATAGTCACACTGAATGGATATGAAGGAAAAGATCACGGAAATATTCCGACTTGAAAGAGTCACAGTTCAGAGTGCAATATGAAAGAATAAAAGACATTAAAAATGAGAGAACAAGTGCATAACAACTGAATTAAAAAGAAACAAAAACAAGCAGAGAGCGACTAATCCACCATTATGTATGTGTGCGTGTGAGCAGAAGATATGAACCATGCATATCCTTTTCTTGTTTAAGTTCATAATCGTCGAAAATAAATAGAGAGAGAGAGAGAGACAGCCACGCAGAAAATACAAACAAATCGAATGACGGGAAAACTGTATAACAATAATAGGTTATCGATGTAATAATATTGCAGTACTAATCTATTCTTTGACATCTTCCTCTTCGGGTTCAGCATTCCGTAACCAATCGAAAAATCCGGTCGTAGATTTCACAATTTCGTCGTAGCCTACGAGAACGAACAAATAACACTCATATAATTCACGATTCCATTTCAACTTACCATCACGATCGGATTCATCTGGGCGCTCTAGCCATTTAATGAACGTTTCTTCTCCCACACAATCTGCGTCATAGAATTTATCGAATAGTAGTTGTGCCATTTCTACGAATAGAAAACATATTATACGTATGACTGAACGACGAATGAACGTTTACTTACTTGATGGATGTCCAAGTTTGGTGACAAAATTTTGAATAGCGTAAACTGCTTGAATTTCATCTTCTGATTTTGTTTCGATGATACTACGTAAAATATTCATGTTTTGTTTATCAATGAAATCTTGTATTGACTGCTTTTCATCGCGATCGACTAAACGGGCTTCCAGATACGATAAAACTATATTTCGAATATAGTATTTGCTGGCCGGATTCATATGCTATCGTGAACAGAGAAGTTAGTAAAATTAAATCTTGTACGTATACACATACTTTCTGAATATAGGCTTGAATATTAGTATTGGTCACAGACGCGCATTCATCGTCTTCTTTTCCAAATAATTGAACCAATTTAGGATCAGCTGCAATTGAATTTGAGGTGTTGGTAGTTGAGGATGTGCTTTCTTTTTGTTCGGATAACCAATTGTATTCATTAAGGAACGAAGAGTCAATTATGCTCGACTTCAATAGATCATTGAGAGAATAACCAGTAGATTCCCAAGATTTCTGCACTTGAGACTTGGACTAGAAGACAAGAGCATAGAAATACACGAGATAAAAGCGAAGATGATCGGTTCTTACAGAAAACTCTGAAGCGTATCGGATAATGTATTGAAACAATTGTTTAGTTTTGTCATCGGGAACAGATCGTAAGATAGGTTTCAATAATATCATATTCGATTCTGCAACACCCATAAATGCACCAAGAATTTCGCCTATATATTGCCAAATGAATGGAATATCGACTATGTAATCGGGTACAGCTTCGACTACCATTTGAAAACTGAAAATAATCAACACAAAAGTAGATGTCATGTTACACATTGATATTTTTCGTACCCAGTGGGGAATCCGTCGTTTGATATCACTTTTTGTCTGGAGGCACAGCCAAGTAGATGTCCGATAGCTTTTCGTGCGCGTGGTTTCGCTTCTAACACATTCGTGAATAGTTCTCGAACGATAATTGCTTGCTGATTAGTGTTCGATGTGCAAAAATCAGTCAAATCTTCGATAGCTTCCTGCAAAATAAGAGAAAAGTCATTACTAAAAGTGTATCATTTCGTTCAGCAACTTACTTTCACGGAGCGGTCATGTTGATCGGAATAGTTTTCTGTATATTCTTCAGATAACGCATGTACGCGAGATCGAGTTTTTTCTTCATCGAACGCTTGATTATTTTCTGTCGACGAAGTTGCAGATCTTTTAGTCGTACTTGGGTCCGGTGAAGCATTACGAGATTGTTCACGGCTGACAGCACGTGATCCTTCACGTGAATTTGACATTGATGCGTTACTGGAGTTGGCTTCTTCGTTATCGCGTGATAACCCCTAAGAGAAATACGAAAATAAAATAGATGAATGGTGATCACACAAGTGTTGTTCTAATTTACATTGACTGGTGGACGTTGGGTAGAGTTAGAGACAGCCTTGGAGAATAACATGTTTTGTGGGCGGAACGATGGGATAGAAGTTGTCAAAGGTTTAGTGATTCTAAAAGAAGAGCTTGCCACTTCTAGAATCATATGCACATCTAAATTTTAAAATGCTCACCGGTTGGCATTGGTTTGGTCATCTTCAGTTTTTTTTTCAGTTGTGCTTGCTTTACCCCAGACTCCTTGCGGTTTTAAATTCAATTGCTATAAGGACAACAACTTGTATAAGTAAATCTCGGAAATGATTATCATGCTTACTGGTGCATTAGCTTTCTTGTCTGTTGATTGATATTGTCGTATGGAGTTCACGTTAAAGCCTTTATCGGTTCGATCTGAAGCTTGTCGATTTGATTGTTGTTTTGATCCGCTGCCTCGACTTCCTCGCGATCCTGTATATAATGGTGGATTACCCGATCCGTAATTGTTATTTCCACCGGTATTGTTTCGATACTGATCTGCTCGTTGTTGTCTGTCACGTTCCTCTTGTTCGCGTTTGCGTCGATCTTGTTCATGAATTTCATCGATGGTTACTGGCTTGGCTTCAGCCATACGAGGAACCCACTTAGCCTACACAGAAAAGTCAGATCGTAAAGTCAAAAATATTCTTTGAGCATCAATTACCTCTCTCAGTTCTAACAGATCTTGAATCATAAATCGTGTGCGTGGTGATATTTGATTTTGTTGGACAATGTCGTTCAACTCATTGTAGGTTTTGGTCATTGCTTTCTTATTCGCTGGCTAAAATAAAAACATTTGTCAGTCGGATTAGGAATCAAAGCTGATCGATAATAGAACATGCTGTTAAACATAAAACGAGTGTTAGTGAAAACATTTGCAATTTTAGTGATTTTATCGTATACTAACTTTCTGTTGCTATTCAAACACAAAGGCGAAAAGAAAAGAATCATTACAAAATCCCAGACAGTATATTTTGAAATACTATACCTTTTCATCAAATGTTTTGCCAACAGTACGTAGAAGACGACATAAACATTCGAGATTTTCCTCATCGGTTTTGTCTTTCAGTAAATTTTCCATACAGCTGTACATGATGGATTCTGTTAACATTCCTAGTTTGAATAGTTCACCAATAAAGCTACAGAGAGAAAAGTCAGTTTGCGCTACTTCGCTTTCTAGTTTGGACTTACAGTATATTGCCGAAATGTCGTCGTTTTGCCTTGTTCAAAGCTTCCTCTAAGTTCTCTGCTTCTTCTTTCTGAAGTTTTTCGTCGGTGATTTTATCGACCTCTGCTTTTCGTCGGTCATAGTTAATGTCTTCTCGATAATCATTTTCAAAACGTGTTTGACAACGTGATAATAAAACTTGCCGAAAAGAAATTGTTGTTGTCTGACCATTTTGATTTGGTGTTGTGATTTGTTTCTTTTGAAAACTATCACATAATTCAGCATACATCGAACAGTATTTAGGTTCTTCGATAGCTTTCGAGAAGATAATATCGATCATTCCTTCTAATCGCTCGTGGCGATCAAGTTCAAGTTTTTCCAATTGTTCGACTAGTATTGTTCGATTTTGTGGTGTTAGTTTGTTTAAGATTAATCGAACATCCCGAATGAATTGAGCGGTAGCATCGATAGTCTTTTGTTTTCCGGTATCGATCTCGCGGACAAATTTCAAATTCGTTGGTCGCTTCTGTGCAAGGGGAACAGAACGTTTACTAAGAAGTTCTTGGATACTGTATTGAAGACGTTTTGATTGTGGCGAATCGGTTACGGTAGATGTCGGTGGAATATCTTCAGATGCCTCACTCGATGACGTTTGTTGAGGTAGTTCTACATGGCTGGAAGATAATAATCTTTCGTCTGTTGATTGATTCTCTGCATCAGACTACAACGAGATAAAGGATTACAGACGTTAGAATTTCCATTATTCGACTATACTCTTGCTCTTCGGGAATAAAAGATTTTCGTCCGGAAGTGTTTAGATCGTGATACCATAATTTTACTCGAACGAGTGTTGTTTTACGAAAGTTTAAGATTTCAAAATGCTTCATTTTTGTTTACAAGGAGACAGCTATCGTTTCTTTTTTTCCCGACTATTGCACAATATCAGCTTTTCTTATGCATGACGATGGTGATAAGACATTCTTACAACGTCGAATGGAAAAGAAATTTCAATGATTCACTGCAACAAAATGGCGTCGCATGAGTCAGACTGGGAAAAAACTCAATAGGATTATGACATGCTCATTACTCGTGCAAAAAATCGTTCAATTTAATTTCAATACTCGAAAATAAGTCCAAAAAACTCCTGAGCTGTTTGATTAAATACAACACTTACCACAACTTCCGAAGGTATAGACTCGATCTCGTATTGTTCTGACAATTCTGAACAATCTTGTTCATTATCATCGTCAACAGCATTTTGATTGGTTTCACTACTCGATTTATCATCGACATCATTTTGAGTATGATCATCAACTTGACTAGTTTGTGTAACTGAACCACCATTGACTGAAACGCACGCTTTCTAAATAACACAATCATAGGCGATAGGACTATGGGAATCAAGCGATTTTCTTGACTTTACCTTATCGGAAAAGGGTTTTTTAACTTCATTCGATGCTACTAAAGACGACACACTTGTTGATGGACTACTTGTGTCCACACGTTGATTAGATGATGGGTCAACAATTGCTAACGGAGTTCTTTTACGTTTTTCTGAAATAAAATTCATAGGATTAAATGTGTCTATTGCGTGCTATATCAATGATACTCTACCTGGGACTTGCGAAGACTGAGGTGGATACACATATGCTTGACTGATCTAGAAAAAGTAATGAACGTTTGTCAAAATATATAAACTATTCGCTGATCACATCATTGAACGTGAGAAACTAACCGGCGTTGGTATTTGTCCGCTGTTAGCTATATAGTAAGGTCTGGTAGACATTGGAGTAGGTGTTTGGTATGGCGACATGAGTGTATGATTAGGAACTGCTACAGCAAAATAAAGCAAGCATTGATTAAAAAGGTTTTTTATTTTGACAAATATTACGTTGATATGGTTGAGGCGGTACAAATATTGGCATTCCTAAATTCGATGTGGCATTTTGCGATTCATTCGGCGGTCGGATAAGAGGAATTTGTGGATTCTAGCAAAGCAAACAAACTCAATTCTTTTCAGTATCATATATAAAACGAAGATCATACTTGGAGATTATTTGGATAGACAAGTGTGCCATGTTGTCCATAAGATTGATTCATGTACATTGGTCGTGTTGAATACATAGTGGGCATCTGAGGGTAATACTAGATAGGAAATACATGTAGATGAGACAGACACATTGATCGAAATCTTACTGGAGCTGAGTTATAAGGGTTAGATATGTTTGAATCATAATCTGTAAAAATTCAATAGAGAATATTTCTTATAGAGAAGAATTCAATGAATTTTGTCCCTACCTGACCCATTCGCACTGAAATGACCATTTGGAGGTTGAGAATACTCATTCATGTTTGGATAATATATTGGCTGCTCAGGATTCATAGTTTGCATGAAATATGACAAAGAAAAATGAAAAGATTTCTGTTAAGTATCTGCTTCGTTCTATTAATTTGATGCACGTATCGAATACCGATTAGTCATAGGAGGAAAATGCCACTTAGTGGTCGATGATAGTTTGATTGTTTAGAAGAAGAACTGAATCAATAAATTATTATTTAATCCAAGACAATAGGTTGAAAGGATGTTAATTAAAATAAATTGTTAATTGTTCTTCTCGTCGATAACTGGACGATTAAAACTGATTGTTGTATAAATAAATACTAGAAAAGAAAGAATCGATGAGAACTGATTTTGACGAATAACGTCACTGAATAACAACTATGTATTTGAATGTGTACTCAACGCCTGCGCTTGTGAAGTGAAAAGAAATAAACGAGAAAAGACATTCGATGATGCATGTTGCTCTTTTTTTCCTACGAGAGAAAAGAAAAATCCAACGTTAGGATAGAAAAAAAAATTTCGAAATTTCTTTTCATACGAGGAGGGGATGCCAAATCATTTTTAATTGGTTTATATCAATGAATCATTAGATTAGAAATCTTATTTGAAATTATAGCCTCCTAATTAGTTTCTTATTATTATTAAATCAATAAAATAACAAACAAAATTAAATCGACTATATAGCTTCGTGTTCTTTGCTCATTTAATTAGCTTCCATAGAATTCTTATAGACTTTTATAGTCAGATGTCACTAGTTTGTAGTTGTGGGTCGTTGATCAATAGACGAATTTGCTAAACATGATTAACATGATCAATACAATGAGAACAGTAAGCAGGGTCAGCGCGATCTTAATCATTAGAAGATTATTTTTGTACCACATTCGCCATTTCGCTTCGTTGGTACAACGTGCAAAGCGGTCCGTTTCATCGTGTAAATGCGCAGCTGCTGTGCTCAGTTTTTCCAAGTTAATATGTCGTTGTTCTAATAGATGGATATTTTCTCTTGTAAGATTCGTTACACCAGTGATTTCGTTCTGAAGTTGCTCCAAAGACATGATCTATGTCGGCACAAAGTATCTGATAAGTCCTTTTCACGATGCGAGAATAATTTATAGGTTTGCTTATTCACGTAGACACATGTCAATAAGTACTAGGCACGTATGAAATGATAAGAGAATTTGTATTTTTTTGGTAAATATTGTAATTTCAATGCATCACAAGAATAAAATCAACAATTGTTATTCTTGTGTCAACTTTATGAACAACTACAGCGGGAACCCGTGCATACTGCACGGTAGTATTTATCACTATAAGCTGATTTTCTGTCAGAATCAAGAGATTAGAAAGTATATATAACTAAAATCTCTGCCGCTCACAGAAACCCCAATATTATTTTGTCAATATTCTTTGATAACCGCTTTTTGAACAGAGTCTCAGCAAAAATTCTAGAAACTTCTGGAATATTCTATAAACCATCATATCATTGTTGATTTTTAATCTTTAACATGTGACTCGGCACGGATAAACACACACACACAGAACATTATTCCCTTTTCTGAAAGAAAGGGTTATACAGCGGTTAAACGTTGTGCTAAAAAGCTTAAAGTTTGTCTGTCAGTGTGTCTGTCCTATCCAATCAGAAATCAGCATTTCTAAAAATCAATGAAATTGATCGATAGTTGTTAGAAAATGATTACCGGTAGGGTAATCGAGGTCGGGGAACTTGAATCTGAGGTTAGTTTTAACTAATTATTAACTAGCCACGACTTATTAACATCCATTGTCAGAGTAGACCGAAAGATTTCTGACGTCGGGAAATTCGAATTTGAGGGTGAATCTCGTCTTGTTTTCTGAGTCTGGGCTTGTTCCTTCCTCTTTACAAAGGAGATATTTTTCTTTATCTGTTCTGAAATCTTTTGTAGAGGATAATGAGCTGAACGCTATTCATGGACGTCATGTGTACAAAGATAGTAGCTCAAGAACTTACACGAAAAGATCTAATGCATTGTACATAATGATGTTTCTAATCGAAGAAATCCGAAAAAGTGATATGAGCTTGGTATGATCTTTGCTTTGTAGACTACCTACATCATGCCTTTTCATGGGAATTTAGTAGAAGTAGTTCGCAAAGTGATATACCCGTTAGTGGAATTCCATCTTAGTAACTACTGACGCGTGGACTATACGAAGAGTATTCTGAACACATGCAGCACTAAGAAAGATGTTCGTTTCGAAGCAAATCATACAATAAGATTTTCTTATCTAGTTTCTTGGGGTAGTCGAATGAATAGAAGATCACGACTGTCGAAGCGTCAATAAAAGAAAACCCAATCATTCAGTTGGGAAGTTAATCAAAGGCGAAAGGGATAACAGAGACAGCATGGCAATGGCTAGCCGTGAGTGACCGACCGGAGGGAGGTCGACGAACGACTAGGCGTTTAAATGCTAGATTAATCCTAAAGTGTACGCTTAGAATAACCTTGTCAGGCTTCAGATAATTTTGAAAGGGATTTGACGAATGGATATTCCTCAATGAAAATATTCGACAAGGTATCACTTTGTTAACAACAGAGAAAAGAATCGGTTTATCACTGGACAACACAGGCGAATGTTCAAACTTTTCAAGAAGTCTACTGTATATCGTCCGTCTATGAGTGACTTAGTAAAGCATTTATGAAAATTTCCATGCGCGTGATGTGAAAAAAGAAAAACAGAGGACAAAGGTCAATGGTTGGCCGTGAGTGGCCGTCTGACTAGCCGTTGAGCGATGAATTTTTCAGTCAACATAGTTAGTGCTGGAGAATTCTCCAGTGACAAATGGCTAATCGTTCAGATTCCTAAAACGACTTTTGCATCCTATTCACTCTAGTGTGTGACATAGTGCCATGATTCAGTTGAGCACTAGTAGCAATCGCAGTGCGTTTTTTCTCTTTCGAAGTCTCTGAATGTGTTCAGCATCCGGAAAAGTCTTTCAGAAAAGGGTCAGCGAATCCAAAGGATGAGCGTTACTTGTATATAAGGATGTAATTCGGAGATGACTAAGATTTGCGTGATGTTATACTTCATCCATGCGCTGAGAGAATTCGGATATGAAAAATATTATGTTTCATACGGAAGGAAACTTATTTACGAAAAAAGTTTTCTTGTTTATTAAAACGAGAATAACAACATGAACGAAGAGAAACAACTAACACAAAACTGAGAAACTACTACATGGGTCGATACCAAAATGGCGGATGTGACATAGGCGGTCCATTCATGAAATTCGTCTGAGAATACAACGGCGTTGCATTAAATGGTTGTTGAGGATAAAAGTGCGTTGCACGCGGAAGAAAGGGTGTTCCAAATGGTCTCATCATTGGTTGAGCTGTCGGTCGGGGATACGTTGGCATAGGATATTGTTGCTTTTCTCGCATTGCTGGCTGTTGCACTACGGATGCAGCAATATGACTATGACGACGATCGGCTTGTGGAACGGATGAATTGACAACATCGTTGTATGCATGTCGGTAATCTTTTACAGCGGTGACACGTGTACGATCAAGTTTAACCGGACGTTTTCTTCCTTGACGATCTTCAAAGAAACCATTGACAACTTCGTAGTTGGCTTTCTCATCGTCGAAGCTACGATGATGGTCACGTTTTTTGTATTTCTTCTGCTTGAAGTTCGATGCTATCGATGGTGGTCGATCGTCAAATATAAGCGATTTCCGTAGATGTTCGTCTTCCATCGTTAAACGTTCAACTTCACTTGGTAGCTCTTGATCCATTTGATAATGATAGTTGACTCCTGAGCCCGTTGGTGGTTGAGTCGAATAAATTTGTTGGGGCGCAGATGTTTGTTGTTCATCATAGACTGTCGATGAAGGATTTGCTTCGCTCACCCATCGTATAAAAACATCTTGGCCTGAATTGACATCTTTGATTCGTTCGACACGTATTAGATTTGGTGCTGGCGCATATGGGTCCATGGTTGTCTGTCCTGATTGAGGAATAGGTGTTGCTGCAGTTGTTACCGTATTTGTTATTAACGACTGACAATCCGATAGTGGAAAGGATGGGGCTGGTTGGGTATTTAGCTGCTGCTGCTGCTGCTGCTGTTGCTGTATTGGACGTTGAATTGCAGAGATAGATGCTATCGATGTCAATCGTCGCCTACGCCGCCGTCGACTTCGTCGACTATGATGACAAGATGAACATGAAGATGAGACTGTCGATGATGATGAAGAGCTTGTTCGATTTGAACTACACGATTGCGCTGAATAAGAAAAAGAAATTGCAACTGGGTTTTCAGGGAAAAGCTTCTGCTCTGTTGTTGTACTCACATCTCGATGATACTGAACGATTTTTACTTGTCGATCGATCATTGTCATATTTATGATGCTCCCACAGTTGCCAAGTATCAATAGGCACGCGATCTGTTTTATAATAGAATCCACCGCCTTCCGTATTTGTTTGATAATCTAGTGTACGCTCGCGGTCGGGTGCCGGTACGATACGTATTTCGTTATCAATTTCTTTATTCTTCGATCCGTAATCATCAACCTATGTGATCATATCGTTCAATGTTACAAATTACGATCGTTTGCTTTCTCATACTTTGAAATAGAGTGGCACTTTGGAACAATCCTGCTGGGACGCAGTTGCTTGATAGGCGCTAAAACATGCTTGAACAAGCGCCAGAGCAGCCTGTCTTGTCTTTGTAACAAATGAATGACATTCATCAACAGGTAAATGGCGAGTACGTCGAAAAGTAACGGCGAATAAGGGTGGGTTACGCGTGTTTTCCATTCGAGCAGCTGCTGGCGAATCCAAAGGTACGAAACGCCATCCATTCGGAAATTCAGCACCTGTTTGAGTTCGCGTGGCGAAACGAATACTAGCACAGTAAATGAGCGAACGTATCGGATAGAATAAAACAACAGATGGATCACGAGCAAATTGTAATTGTAACCCATTGTCATAGATTGACAGCCATGCTTCAATACCTAACAAATTTGAAGCAATATTTTCGATTATTAAAAGAGGAAAGATATGGGCATACCTCGAACAACTTCTTTTCCATCTACGGGATATCGTCGGGATAAAGGTTCTTGTATAGCATCGATACCACGTTGACCAGGCGAAGAAATTGCTGTGCCCAAGTATAGTACACTACATTTCGCTCTAAAGAAATCGAAATCTAATTTATATTTGCTAATAATCGAGTTTTATTATTGGCAGGCATGACGAATCACATGGGAAAGAATAAAAAGTATATAAATAAATCCAAAACATGTGATTATCTGTATTGAACAACAATTTAATTATTCATTAGGTTTTTAAATGAAAAACTAACATACGAAATTATCGATTTATTGATGTCTAGTTACGCTTCATAGATCAGATAAAAAAATATGCGTAAATGAAAACAAATAGTTCGTTTGCTCGAAAACTTTCTCAAGACTTGCAAATGCAACTTACAATGGCTGAGAACCATCGATAACAATCGGTCGGTATTGCATTTGTTGCTGTTGTTGACTATAATCATAATTATTCTCATCTACGACCACATGAGAAGCAGCTTGATCATTGTTATCGGTATAAACATGTTGTACATATCTTGATGGATCTATGCTTTGCCCGTTTTCATCTACATATGTATATTCCGCTGTTGGATACTGCATAACGATCTGTATTGAAATATCCTAGTGATACGAAGAGACAGTCATTGACACAAACATCAGGTGTTTCTTTTTCTGTTGTTCAAAAAACGAAACCGTGATGTTAAGAGTAAAAGCAAAGCACGCTTCTTATCATTAATACTTACTAGACACAATAGATGATACACGACATTTGCTGTTCAGCGAACCGTATCAGTCGAAAAGATGTCGATATAGAAAATGAATGAAAATAGTAGATGTGTGATCGTAAGGCGGTAGTGACGATGGCTATCGATTTTTTCTTTTTCGTTTTTTTTCTCTTTCTCACGGTGACCTATTGCCAGATTGTCCATTGACCTTTCATGTACCTCTGTCACCCAACACAAATAACTATACTGATCATGATAATAAAACTCTCTTATGTCTATTACCACCGGTAAGAGAGAAATGTTTTTCTCTATGTTCGTTTTCGAACAGCGATCTACCGGACATCGGCATGTTTCTACAAATGGATTGTGAGACAAATACGCGGTGAAGTTCGCGAAAAAACTATGTTATCATAAATGATCTCTAATGAAGAATCACATTTTTTATAAAACTCATTTGTCATTAGTTGAACAGAAGATTTTATCTGTATGTATGCGAATAATTTTTTTATAAATATTGGTTCAACATATCATCTTTGATTACATCAATTTGATGGATGATTCGATATCACAAATAGTTCAATTCAAACATTAGTCCTAAAGAATGAAACGAATAGTCCTACAAATGACTTTTATATGCTGATCTAATGTTATAAGTCATACTCAACAACAACTAAAAGAAAGTCGTTCGATGTTTATATTGGTGAACATTGACATTCGTTCAAAGAAAAACAACATTCTGTTCTTCCGAGGTGTATAACATATGCCACTTGTTCGTTCCAGAAGAAGAACGAGTATGAATATCAGATGGTCTATCTATTCGAGTTAACGTTCAACGTCACACGAGCGTATATGTCGGGATGTGTCTAATCTTAATTTGAATTAACAATATCGTACGTTTGTCTTCATTCTCACATCAACATATATTAATCAATAGTAATGAAAAGAATATCCATCACTGTCTTTCGATTAGACGCATTCAATATCAAGGTTCGTTTTTGTATACTTATATTCGAATAGTGGAAGTATTTATAGTGCATCATAGTATCAACCAATCAGTCTTTTACATAATAGATTTGTATCAACACATAGATTAAAAAGATTAAATTTTATATGCTTGACTGAACACCGTCATTTTTCCTAGTGTTCATATGAATATTTAGCTAGATTCGTTTTTTATTTTGTATAATATATAGTTTTGTGCGTTTTTTTTTTGTCTGTTTGTTTTGATGGAAATATGCAATACGCGTATGTGTGTATGTTGGTTTACGACATCTAACAGAATCAAATGGAACAAATAAACGAAACAAATAACTAGAGGCGCGAAATAGACACAAAAAAAAGAAAGAGAGAAACATGCACACGCCGAATGAAAGAAGAGAAAAGCAAAACGAAAAAAAAAGACACCAACTGTATTTTCAAGAAATGTTCAAGGTATAGGGTATATTTTGTTAAATAATATTCCTATTCAATATTGAATACAAATACTGTATCAAGAGTCGAGTAATTGAACTTCATCGTCAAGATCTTGGGGTTCAAATTCGTAATGTTGATTCAATTCGTCATGACTATTCAAAGAAAGATTTGTACGTTTTGATTCACGATTATTTGACGATCGACTAGTATCCGCTAAGAGTTGATCTTCTTCAATCTGAAGTTAAGGAGAAGTTGTGCAATACGATCTTCTCTTTCAATTGGAACTTACATCTTCGCTCTCATCGACATCACTGGTTTGACTTTGATTTCTTCGTTTTGCTTCGGGTTCATCACCGTCGCCTTCGTCATCGTCCTCTGCACCTTCATGGGTCGTCTCCGCGGATGTCGCGCCAAGAAGTTCATCTTCGATGGTTTCTGAGAGAGTTCGCTTTTTACCACTGGTGTTTAACGACGTGTCTGCGTTGAAAGAGACGTCAAGATTATGATCCTGAAACGTTAGTCCATTCTGTTGTATCTTAAACAAGACATGAATGGAACATGAGAATAATAGGACACATTGATTTTTTTACTTTATCTGCATCCGATTGAGAAGAATACGTAACAAGTAGTGTATTGTCATTATCACCCGGTTGAATTTTCGTTGCTCCAGATTTCTAAACATGAGAGCGATAGAGCATTGAGTGTTTTCTCATAGAATATTGATATGAACCTTTAAAAATTCTTCTAATTCACTTCGTGGTAAATCATTAATGTTTTTAATAATTAGTTGTTTTTGTTTGGTATTATGTTCATTATCATTGTGAGCATTTGTCAAATTGAATGATGATTGACCTAATGTTGAGCTCATTGCACGACGCTAAATGAAACTCATGTGTAAACGATGTTTTACAAGTTTATCAAATGCTAATTACCATGTCTGCTGATGTTTTAGCTCTTAGGGTCTCAAGTTGTTTCCGTAAAGTCTGCGCACGTTGTTTGAGTGCGTCCTGCTGACTAATTTTTGTCGGCGGGACCGGCTTTGATGTTGATGATCCTGCTGCTGACAAAGACGATGATGATGTTTTCACGGGTGCTGTTAAACGTAGTGAATCTTTAAGCATCACAATAGTAGAATCGACTTGTTTCATCAACGATCGAATAGATTCTTTCTCAGTGTTTGTCTCAGCGACTTCTAGTTTTTTTAGTAATAATTTCTGCTGTTGAATTTGTTCTTCGAGTAGGCCTTGTTTTTTACGTTGAATTTCAACGGCAGCTTTCTTCACTGCTTCTTTTTTCGTAATCGTTGAAGATGGGTGAGCCGTTTTCTTTGAAGCTGGCGCAGCTACAGGGGCTACGGACGCCGCTACCGCTGCGGGAGTTACCGTTGCTGTTGCCGTTGTTTGAGTTGTAGTTGGCTGAGTAGTCTACGAAATGGTTTATTAAGAATAAGTTTAAAACGAATACAATCAATGCAATACCGTTGACGTTTGATCGGCTTTGCTTCCTGATAGTTGTTGCATTTTCATCCAGTGAAGTTTCATGGGATTGGGTGTGCTCGTCGATGGTTTCTTAGTTGGTGCAGCATCTGACGACGACGACGACGATGCTGTCGCTGTTGGTTGCTGCGTAGATTGATTAGAACTATTACTATTGTTACCAGAAGATTGTCCCTAGAAAATGGCAAATCTCGATGTAGATTTCGATGCTTTGTTCGTGATGATTTACCTTATTGTTGTTGTGCCAGAAGATCTTAATGAAACGATTATTAAATAATGGTTGAGGATTTTTATAAGCTGTTTCAGCTTGGTGCTGGGTCGCATAGGCAACCAGAGCTGAATCGGGTGCTCCATCATAAGCAATCTAAGAGACAAAAAAGTTATGTTTATTTAGAAAATAAGATCAAATGAAATATAGAATATACTTGAACGTTTGTAACTGTACCGAACTTGCTAAAGTGCTCGTTCAATTTGGAAATGGTATTGAATTCAACCGGAATTTTACGTATTTCAAGAGTGGCCGGTGTTGCACTAGATCCATCTGGCTTTTGCCCTAAATTCAAACAAAGGAATAAATAAATATCAACGTCTTTGTGCATAATCAACAACATACATGGACGTTTCCATCCTCGTCCATGATATCCATTATTTGAATTCGAAGGGTTCGTATGACTGTTAGCCGTGTTAGTATTGTTATTTGAATCATTAGCTGGTGCTTGTTCTTGTTGTTGCTGCTGCTGCTGGTGTTGCTGGTGGTGATGCTGATGCTGATGCTGATGTTGATGTTGATGCTGTTGTTGCATTTGTTGTTGTGGTCGTCGATCATTTGGATAAGGGCCGGCAGTACCATGCCGTTTAGGGTACATCATCGGACCGCTCGGCATTCCCACTAGATGAAAAGAAAAGAGCAACAATGAAAATGTTGAGTACGGAATAGAGAACAATTAATAGTTTATACTTGAATCATTTTGTCGTAGTTTTTGTTCGAGCGGCAATGGTTCAGCATTGGTCACCACAGTAACAAGTGTACGCTGAGGATTCATCATCATCATTTGCTGTTGTGATAATGGTGGTTGTCCTGCTGATAATGGTGGGCCTTGCATGCGCGCATGATGGTGATGCATAGGATGTCTCATGAACATTGGTGGACCTTGATGTGATCCATGTTTTAATTCAGGTGTTTCAGGATTATATTCGTGGTAATGCGGATGAAGATGAGCTGGAGGCATTCCATATTGCTGATAAGGCGGATAATATGTTTGTTGTTGTTGTTGTTGTTGTTGCTGTTGCTGCTGTTGTTGTTCGAAAACAAGAGCATTTGTTCCATGATCATATGGACATGAATCTCCGAGTGCACAATAACCTTTATTTTCAAAAAAATCACTACAAGGTATTTTTTTGTATAAAAAATTTGTATTTGTCGTCGGTGCTTGATGAATAGTACTGATTGGACGTGATGGCGAGGAACGTGAGGATGAACCGGATGATGAATGTGAATAGGAACGTTGTGCACGTTTTGCTGGCGGCGGTGAACCGGAACGTGAGCGAGACGATGAACGATTCGAACGTTGATTATTGGAATTTGTTGTTTGGCGATAGTGTGACGATGTCTGATGGCGATTAGCACCGCCACTGGTCGTATTCACATGCCGTCGCGGATTAGGCGAATGATGACGACCGGAAGATGAACGGTAGGAATACCGCCTTTTAACAGGTTGGATTATCGCTCCAGATGATTGTTGTTGAGCAATTGTGGTTTGTTCAGAAGATAATGTGTCTTGGGAAGTAGTAGGGATTTGTTGCTGTTGTTGTTCATTATCTTGTTTCGCTGGCGACGAAGAATTTTGTGGTTCTAATAGTTCAGATGATTCTGCTGATTTCTCGTCACTACTATCACTCGCTTTAGGTTGCACATTTTCCTAAAGAAAATATAAACTTATTCCATACGGGTTTCCCAGAAAAACGAAAACGAACTTTTTTTGCCTCTGGAATATACCGTCCATTTCGAATGACGTCAAACAGTTGATCAACAAAATCTTTTGTGGCTAAAAATTCAACACACAGCCATACATACAGATATCAAGTAATCGAAAACAAGTTAAATCTACATACCACGATCAAGAAAGACTTCTAATCGATCAATACAGTTTTCGCGTAATTTGTCTAATGGTTTATCTTTCGCTACCAAAGCGAGAACATAACGAGCTAAAGCCATGGGCTCCGCGTCGCATCTACATTAAGATAAATAATATGCAATGATGTCCATTGGAAAAGAAGAGAACCTACATCGGCTCGAGTGTTGCAACGAGCCATTCTCGTAATGCTACTTCGTCGTCGATCAACATGAAAATAACGATTCTTTAACTATATACAAAAGCGAATCTTTTCACGTTACAACAAATCTAGAAAAAAAGCACGAAGATTAAAATTTCTTTCTTCGTATGTGCATGCAAAATAGAGCATTCCAAATCGATCTGGAAAATTAGTTTTCACAACTTAAACAGAAAAACAACTGTGAAATATATCTGAAGTAGTTAGATGGAAGTGAGATATCATGCATTCATTCTCTGGGAAAACAAAACATTATTTGACCGATGCCGACGATTGAATTGGATAATAAGTAATCTCATTCGACATACGACGCACTTTGCTGGCAGATATAGTCGATTGATTACGAATTCGTATTTTTTCGAGACGCTTTATCAGCCAGACAAGCAGCATGATAATAAATATCTATGAAGATATGTAATTGATTATTGGGCCAATAACAAAAAAACAATCTCACCTGAAGAGATGCGACGCCTACTGTAACACATCCAAGTGTAACTAAGTGTGTGTGGTAAAAATTGTACAGTGCAGGTGAACAGCCCTATTCAAAAATAAAATTGATATTTTGTACTTAGTAACAGCTGAATGAAGGCAGGCAGGACTATCGATTTCTTCGTTCTACTCTTCCAATTGTTAACATACGTGAGAAAATATATTCGACGGGTGTTTGCCGTACGGTTTTCGAGCGCATTTCGGTTCATACGATTTGCAACAACTGTCGGGTACCGCTGAATTCATCGATGCGTTAAAATGTGGATTCAATTGCCAATCCTATAGTAAATTCAAGATGTTTTGATCAGATGATTATGAAAAACAATGATCTCACTCCAAATGATTTTGATCCACAACATCGAAGCTAAAAACGAAATTATGAATGTAATAGAGCTTCTGAAGAATTTTACATACGAGTCTCTGCATTTGATCGAATGATTTCGTTTTTCCACCATCGAACAGATACTTATATTGAATGGTTTCAAGTAGGTTTATTGATAAACGTTCTTCGAGCTAAACATTCGCATTTATTTTCGAATTGAACAATTCAGTCAACTCACATTAACTGTATAACCAAATGCCAGTAAACCAGCTGTTATTTCGCAAGCAAATGTTAATACCAATATCAATAACGTCTAAACCATTCGTGTTCGAATAGCAAACGATTTCCTTCTTCGAAATAGACTTACAAATTTCAATCCTTTTTCATATTCATTCCACGAAGTAATAAATAGGACAATAATTGCTACACACGTAATTATTGCTGATAATAATAAGCAATATGTTGCAGTCGTGTAAAGATAGGCTGAAGCGAGCAAGGCGTATTTATGTTTGGTTACAATTGTCCAAAATGATAAGTAAGACAACGAGAGAACAGCTACCAGCAGAAGAAAACCGACAATAATGATTGAAGCTTTAATACCGAACACACTACAGTATCCTTTATTGCTGGCATTGAATCTATCAGGTTTTTTCATTGGTGTCGAAGACATTTTTGAAAAAATTCTGTTTGTTGTAAGAAAAAAGATAAACAATTGAGTAACTGATTGCAATGAAGATGTTCTTGAAATCGAATTTCACTTTAAATAGAAGGTTAGACACATGTTCAGATTCCGATGATAAACGATCTTTTCAGATCATATTTCCTTCTGATTAACTAGTTGTGCCTTGTTTATTTCGCCTAGCCATTCGAATTATTTGTTTTTTTCCTGTTCTCATCCATTACTTGTAGAAACAATAAGTTTAACATGGACTTTCAATATAACAAATCAGAAACGACGAAAGATAGGTGGCGCTATAACCATACAGTATGATTTCTTCTCAATACCTGCTCTTGATTATTCAAGTGATTGTAGTTGTAAACTGTTACACAAGTATTTAATATTACTATTAAATCTTGAGTGTGTGCAGTTCAAGTTTTTATTTGTCCTTGTCTCATTCTATCTCAAAGTCGTGTTTCATTGAACTCGATGTCTCTAGCTGCCTCTTTAAATTCAAGTACTTATGTTATAAACATCTTAGAAGGTCAATGAAAATGAACATTATCGCACTGTCCATTTATGATTCTTCTTTACGGAAATAAGTGTGCGTATTATTTGATACAAAGTACATATACAATGTATCAAACGACGAGTCTCTTGTCTATGACATTCTGCATATGATGATCAGAAAATCGTGAATGCATTTTAGGTTTGTAAGTCTTCGTTTTTCCAGTTGTTTGCTTGTAGGTTCTACTATTTGGTAGTTGGGACAATGCTCCATAGTAATCAACTGGATATCGACTGACATGGGCTTTTTGTTGATGACTATTTGTAATCGCCGGTAAATAAGGAATTTGGTTATACAATGTAGATGTATGTGGATATGGATCATCGTATAAGATGTCTACGACTTGAACGTCAGAGTCAATGTATGTACCTGACGACGAACGACGACGAATGTGTAAGTGTTGTTGATGGTATTCGTCCTGATGAGAAATATTTTGTAAAGTGGTTCGATGATAGAGATGATTTGATTCAGAGGGAATAGAAGGAGGATAAGGAAGATGGTGGTGATGAGTCTGTACATGAGGACGATTTTGCTGTGCAGGATTATGGTGATGATGATGATGTTGAGGAAAGTAATAGCTGTCATCGTCGTCCATATCAGAGGTAAAAAAATGTTTATCGGTATTTTTCGATTGAAGTTTTGACCGATTCGCGATTGGTTTCGATGTTATTATTAGATTACTTGGGTTTTGCGGTGGTTTATTTGATATCGATTGTAAATAATGATCTGTCCATTCATATTCTGTTTTAAGTTTACGGCGATCTGGTAGTACTTTTCGTTTTACTTGTTGTTCATAATAACCATGATTGTCTGGATCTTTTAATGGTACATAACGTCTCGACGTTGGCCGTTGCTGAAGAGTGCCATGATCTTGATGCAATACCACATTTGATGGTGTAACTGAATCTTTCTCTGAATGATCATGATGTTGTTTACTTTGGACAACGGGCACTCCATTCGGACGAGAGTTCGGTGTTCGCTTTTTTGGTTTGATCGGCAAGGTTGTTAGAGAAAGTTGAGAAGGATACTTTGAAGGATCAGTTAAATTATATGGAGCCTTCTGTTGATGATTTGCCTGACGTTGACGTGCGATCCAATCAGGATTTTTTAATTTGTAATAATACCAATACGGATAATAATTATCATCAACTCCGGTTGGTTTTACCTGTGGTAAAGATGCTAAAGTTCCGTGACCGGGCGGTGCTTTATGGAGGGTCTTCTTCTTAGTCTTTTCTTCCTTTTGTTGTTTTTGAAATTGAACAGCCATCGGAATGCCATTCGCGGGCAAATCATTGTACGTGTATCGAAGACTATGTGGGGTCTTTCGAGAAGATGCTAAACGTGGGGACAAAGACGTTGCTGTTGGTATTCGTTCATTGTCTGCGCTAATTAATTGACATGTATCATTGGATGAAGTGATCGATGAGCGTTCCGATATGTAAATATCTTCTTCATCATAATCATTTGTGAGAAAAAGTGCTCGGTTATCGTTTCTCTGTTGTATATCCCAATTTTTTAAATGCTCTTTTTTAATATGATACGTCATGTTTCACTTTTAACGTTTTCAAGTAATATGAAAAGTAATTGACTGATAAAAATAGAAGAGAGGAGAGGAAAAGTGAGCGGATTCTCTGGTCTGCTCTCGTTCGATGCAATTTGTTTTGTTTGTGTTTGGAGTATGTCGATAGTCAGAATACACCTACGTTGACGATGAGGTAGAGAACATTTTCAAAGAAGTAATAGCCGATATAAATGGAAAGTTAAATCAACAAGATTATTGTGCTCTATCGATGAGAACGAAGTGTATGAGAACTGCTTGTCAACAGGTAGGAACGTAAGAGAGAGAATACCATACAAGTTCATAAATAAATATTGACGTTTGATTTTTGATTAATTAGATTGACTGACATCATAATCACGTAGTCAGAACGATTTTAATATAACGATCGCTGATGAATATTTTCATAGGTAGTTATTTTGATCATTAGAAACGAAATCGAAAAGGATTTCTAGGATTTCTATGGGTAAAAATGAATATTTACTCATTCAATACGAAGTTTGATTTGCTCATATATTCTCTCACTCGTTTTAATGATTGTGAAACTATGCGTAAGATTTTTAAAGGATCAACAAGAGCTTCACAATCACGAATATTGAACGAGACTTGTCGATGACTTCTAGAGATGAACCAGAATTCTCCATCGAAACACATAATGGATGACATATTGCAGACGTTGACTGTTAACAACACAACTAAACATGACTTTATTCACCATTGAGAAAACTAAACGTATAGACAGTGTATGGCATTGTCAAAATACGACTATTAGATTGGAATGGCATTCAAGGAATATGCAATGTTGCTGGATAGTATGCTATTTTTCAGAGGCATCGAATGAGTTTGAACGACAGACGCAATGTGGACGTTTTTCGGTACATAGGGAAAATGCTGAAATTAATTAGAACGGATGGGCAGTAGTGCATACTTAAAAGCGTGTACTTATATAAAATAAAAATCTTTCGGTCTGATTCAGAAAAGGGTTTCATGCGGAAATAATAAAAGCAATTGCATAAAATATAAATTACATATAAAGAGTTCTTAGTTTTAATGTTTTCGTGGGATTGGAAGGAATAGCATTACTACAATTTAAAAAACGAACTATGCATTGCATTTTCGTCCAATATTTCTAACAAGTAGCGCTCATCCTTTGGATTCGCTGACTCTTTTCTGAAAGAATTGTCCCAGTGCTGACCACATTCAAGCACTTTGAAAGACAACTAAGGCACTGCGATTGCTACTAGTCCTCAACTGAACCATTGCATTATGTCACACACTAGAGTGAATAGAAGACAGAGATTGTTCTTTTTCAGAAGCCGAACCGATTAACTATTTGTCAGTGAGTAATTCTCGAGAACTAGTTGTGTTGACTGAAAACCCCATCCCACAATGGCTAGTCGTTTGTCAACCTCCCTCCGGTCGGCCACTCACGGCTAGCCGTTGGCACATATACGATTAGTTTCCCATTTTCACGCCGAACAGTTGGCCCGCTCATAACTGATCGGTTTCTAATCCGAGATATTGAAACTTTACATAATAGCGTGATTTTTGTCACTGATTCTACTCTTCTTTCCACATGCGAAACTCGATAATTGAGTGGTCTCGTTCTCAAAAAGAGTATTAGTTAAATTTTTTTAAAGATTATTTAAGGTATCTGCGTCTTTTAACTCTCATTTACACTGAGTCGGTCTGCAACCGAAGCTGTCAAAGTTCGACATAACTGTGCGATTTACAGGACATTTTCTATTACTCTTTTCAATTTAAAGAGCTGATAATCTGCAGGACTTATTCTCGAAGCTCGAAAGACATCAGTAATATTCGTTAAAAAATCATTGACATAAACTGAGACTCTTACAAATCTCGTCTCTCAAGTGGTTTTTGAAACAAACGTCTAGTCGTTCGTCGACCTCTCTCCTGTCGGTCACTCACGACTAGCCCTTACCACCCTACCTCTGTTATGCCTTTCACATTTGACTAACTTTTAAACTGAATAACTGTGCTTCATTTGATTGTGGCTTCGAAAGTGCTGATCTTCTATCTATTTGATCCTGAAAAGAAAATAGATTAAAGTTTTATTTTATTATTTGCTGTGAAAAGAACACGCATCATAATGCACCCTATGTTTAGAAGACACAAATGGTATTAAGCTTATACCACTTTTTATGATTTCTTGGGCTAGAAATATCATGATGTATGGTATATTAAATCTTCTTCTGTAAACTTCTAAACTACTCTATTGGTCCACATCACATCCAGCAGTAGCGTTGAAACCACAACCTTCTACAAAAGATTTTAGGACGATAGAGAAAAATATCTCTTCTGAAAAAAACGAAAGACGCCGAAGGTTCGTGACTAAGAAAAAACTAACGTCATTATAACGAATTTGACAAGAGAAGTGCCCGTGATATGATGGCACACACTTGATTTGGCTTCTTCACGTAAAAAAGCTCCTGTTTAGTTATGAGATACACGCTTATATAGGCAACAGAGAACAATGGATATCAGCCAAGTACAGCGGTCATGCTAGTGTCGACGAGTCAAGGTCGCATACAGGTCAGAATATAGCAATATATCCCGTTACAGTCATATTTGAGTTCTTCGACCTTGATGTCCTTCGGTCAACCCTACTCGACAAAAAATTTTTTCTCCTTACTTAATTAGTCAGTTAGCTAATTAGCTAATTAGAATTTTAAGAAACTAACATCAGATTCGGAACCCTCGACTCCAATTACTTTCCATCAATCGTTTTCTAATAAGTACGGTTAAGTTTTCATTGATTTATAAAATGCTGCAATCTGATTGGATTATGCAAACAAACTTTTAGCATTTTAATGACCGTATTTTGTCGGATGTCAGAAATACTAAGAATCTTGGACTTACGGCGTATTCCCATCGCATCCGCTGGAGTTTACTCGCTCTGAGCAACCATCCTTTAAAGCGTAGTTAAGACTGGGAACCTCAAACTATACATTAGCTTCTTCTTGTGCACCTTGTTTTTCGAATCTTATTCGATATATGGTCTATATGAAATGAGATCTTTCCGATCTATTATAAGTAAGCGTGAACCTGTTGCTTTTCTGTGCTGCAGAACAGAACATCATGTGACGTACAGTAGGATGTCATTGGTTTTAAACATGGTATAAAGTTAAACGTGTTTATTGAAGTGGAATAGAAATAGAAAAACATAGGATATTATGGATAGGTCATGATAATCGACTAGGCAAAAACGACTTTTTTCTTACAAAGAGACAAGTCTCTGTGTTGTTTCAAGTATGCTGAACGATATATTTCTAACACTTTAGTATGATACCAGCGAGTTCAATGCGCGGGCATTACTTATAAATTACATCTGTATACTGAAATAAGGCTCATTGTGCACGCATTTGTTATCTTGAACTTGGCCATGGCTATTGTTGGAAATATTAGATCTAAACTGAAAACTCAACAACATTTACCATCAGAAGATGATACTTTTGAGCGTGAGCTCTCTAATCAGAACAAATGTGGGAGGATATTTTTCATGTGTTAGGATAGGTTCCTGCAATTACTCAGAAGTAAAGAGCATTAATTAATCCAAGCATGTTTGCCTGATTTTAACAATTACAATTTCTTCTCGCTATTTTTAGTTGTAACAGTGGTAATAAAAAGTCACTGTATACTCAGCTAAAAAGTTTCAGTATCACACGGCGCGATTTTATTTACTGAAAAACAAAATGCACATATTTTCTTTCTTTGACCACGGGCACGCTCATCTTCGACTGCTTTATATATTCATATATACAAATCCTGTCGATAGCATTATATCAGACTTCGTGAATAGTATTGCTGGTCATTGCAAATTCTATTGTTTATCTACAACACATACAGACTATTACTACACGGTTGTATTCGTTGTTGGTACTCATTTGTAAACAAACAGAGACTAAATGTGCGCAAATAGCGCGATTAAAAGCAAGAATATCTGTATTTAGATGATGATCCTTTGCATACTTTCAGTCCACTCGATTTATATGAGTGTACGTATTTTGACCAAGTGCTATTAACTCTTTGCAAATAGGCGGGCTATATACATACCATTTTAGGTCCACCTCTAAACGTAGTAATACTACATGTATAAATTCAGTCTGCGGCGGCTCCAGATAGCCAAAATCCACTTCTGTTCAATGATCATCATCTCGTGCGAGTTTTCAATCACCGATACGTGCAGAGAACTCAAAGGCAAGTATATAAACCAAATGGAATGTACGTTCTCTTACAGTGTAATGCTAAAGAACACTACGAATATATATGTCATATCTTAGCGCACAGACTATGATGTTGAATTATGCACAGCTGAGCGGTTTCAGCTTTGTCATCATTCAAAAGACAGATCTCAGAGCAAGGGTATAATAGGCCCCTAACATTAAATTTCATACGACTTCAAACTTCAGAGCGTTTCAAACAGTGTCGAGATGTTCGATTTAAGAAAACCATAAACACACAGCCCTGTTATCAGAATGATATACAAACGAGCTCGAAAATCTATTGCAAAGCTCTTTCGACGATAAAGTACTGCAAAAACACTTCCCTGATATTTTAACATGGATAAGTACCAAGAGTGAATAGTGCTGATCATATTCGACAAAATAACTTGTTTTCAGACTACGCTGATGGTGGGAGATGATTAATCTAACACAACGATTGAGTGTGCTGTTTTTTAATTATTCTCTCTTCACTACGTCATTCTAGTCAGCTTATAACAGTGTTTCTTTCATACGCACCGTAGAACTCATACATAACGGAAGAATACTACTCTCTCCAAAAATGAACCACAAAAAGAAATAAATAAAACCTCCTCATCAAACAATCAGTACATTTAGGCTTTGGAATAAAACATACAACAACTTTCTTATAATGAAGAATCGCTGCCATTCAGTGTACCACGCCCTGATCTCATTGGCATTAGTAGGAATAACATCTGAACCGCATACGTGCTGTACTATCATCGATCCCATTCTTCTACATCTCCAATATAGTCGAGCCGTCTACAGTAATGTTGTCTTGTCCATCATATCCTGTCAGAAACAAACTCTAAACCGACAGGATCACTCATAGACGCACCGCATTAAGGCGTCTCTTCTACCAAACACTACTCCGTTATACCTTCGTAACTAAACCATTCATTCTCACCGATGCACATGAATTTCTCACAGAACAAAAACCATTACCATTCGGGCAACATTCACTTCTTACAACAACATTCGCTTTCTATACCTTTATTACTCATCAATATCACAATGACCACACAACAAATGATATCTACTAAGCTCTCAATCGAAAAAGATCTGATCAACACAAAGAGCCATCAGATCCACGGTCACTTGTTCTCCGATTGAATTTAAAGCCAGATCTATACCATCTTGGCGCTCTAAGAATGAGACAAAACAGAAATTACAAACTTCTTCGACTACAGCGTCAATCTTACTATATTCCTTTCCAATGCATCTGCAATATGTTGAGCTATTTCATCACCGATTTGTTTTCCGTCGAGGTTAAGTGTGGTGAGTGTCTGTAGGTGTGAGATAGACTGAGTGCTTCATCTTCTATGAAATCTGATCAATATTACTCCGTTCGTTCGCAACGCATCCGAAATGTGTTCTGCTCCTCCAGCATCGATTTCGTTGCCCTCGAGGTTAAGCGTCGTGAGTGTCTGTAGGTGTGAGATAGACTAAGTGCTTCATCTTCTGTGAAATCTGATCAATATTACTGCGTTCGTTCGCAACGCATGCGAAATGTGTTGCGCTCCTCGAGCACCGATTCGGTTCCTACTGAGGTCAAGTGTGGTGAGTGTCTGTAGGTGTGAGATAGACTGAGTGCTTCATCTTCTATGAAATCAGCTCAATATTACTGCGTTCGTTCGCAACGCATGCGAAATGTGTTCTGCTCCTCCAGCACCGATTTGGTTGTCCTCGAGGTTAAGCGTAGTGAGTGTCTGTAGGTGTGATATAGACTGAGTGCTTCATCTTCTATGAAATCTGATCAATATTACTGCGTTCGTTCGCAACGCATCCGCAATGTGTTGCGCTCCTCCAACACCGACTCGGTTCCAACTGAGGTCAAGTGTGGTGAGTGTCTGTAGATGCGAGATAGACTAAGTGCTTCATCTTCTATGAAATCTGATCAATATTACTGCGTTCGTTCGCAACGCATCCGCAATATCTTGTGCTCCTTCATCACCGATTTCGTTGACCTCGAGGTTAAGCGTGGTGAGTGTCTGTAGGTGTGAGATAGACTGAGTGCTTCATCTTCTATGAAATCTGATCAATATTACGGCGTTCGTTCGCAACCCATCCGCAATATCTTGTGCTCCTTCATCACCGATTTGGTTGTTCTGGAGGTTAAGCGTGGTGAGTGTCTGTAGGTGTGAGATAGACTGGGTACTGAATCTCCTTCAAAATAAGATCAATATTACCGTATTCGTTCGCAGCGCATTAGCAATGTGTTGAGCTCCTTCAACACCGATTTCGTTCGCACTGAGGTTAAGTCTGGTGAGTGTCTGTAGGTGTGAGATAGACTGGGTACTGCATCTCCTTCAAAATAAGATCAATATTACCGTATTCATTGGCAGCGCAATAGCAATGTCCAGTGCTCCTTCAGCACCGATTCCGTTCTCCTCGAGGTGAAGTGTGGTGAGTGTCTGTAGGTGTGAGACAGATTGAGTGCTTCATCTTCTATGAAATGAGATGAGTATTACCGTATTCGCTCGCAACGCATTAGCAATGTGTTGTGCTCCTTCATCACCGATTTCGTTGCGCCAGAGTTTAAGGGTAGTGAGTGTCTGTAGGTGTGAGATAGACTGAGTGCTTCATCTTCTATGAAATGTGATGAATATTACCGTATTCGTTCGCAACCCATCCGCAATGTGTTGTGCTCCTTCAACACTGATTTCGTTCGCACTGAGGTTAAGAGTAGTGAGTGTCTGTAGGTGTGAGATAGACTGGGTACTGAATCTCCTTCAAAATAAGATCAATATTACCGTATTCGTTCGCAGCGCATTAGCAATGTGTTGTGCTCCTTCAACACCGATTCCGTTCGCACTGAGGTTAAGAGTAGTGAGTGTCTGTAGGTGTGAGATAGACTGAGTGTTTCATCTTCTAAGAAATGAGATGAGTATTACCGTATTCGTTCGCAGCGCATTAGCAATGTGTTGTGCTCCTTCATCACCGATTTCGTTCCAACCGAGGTTAAGTGTGGTGAATGTCTGTAGGTGTGAGATAGACTGAGTGCTTCATCTTCTAAGAAATGAGATGAATGTTACCGTATTCGTTCGCAGCGCATTAGCAATGTGCTGTGCTCCTTCATCACCGATTTCGTTCCTACTGAGGTCAAGTGTGGTGAGTGTCTGAATTGAAGTAATGTATGAGGAAAAGCGTAGATAGTAAAGAAAACCTTTGATGGCACTTCTGATGGTAAGTATGGGATTTAAAATAGTTATGTTTGGGGTGGATTTTTAAGGAGGAGTTGGGTGTAGATGTGAATTATTCGAGTGAATGATGATGCTAGTTGTTGTTGCGGAAAGAAGTGCTGTGTCGAGAATCGAGACTGGAGAAAACTGTGATAGGATGGAGTCGGACAGAGTAGGAGATAAGTTTCAATATTTGTTGGTGGTACTGAGATTTCTCTTTTGAAGACGCACTGCAGTGAAATCCAAGTCCTACTAGTCTGAAATGTAGGAGCGGGACTTGATGAAGTAAGAGTACAGAGCTTTTGGCTTCAGTAGATGAGTTCTGTCAAAAGTTGTAAGTGCTGCAATTTTTGTATCGAGTAGTGCAACGCAGAAACGGTAACGCATAAGTAGGCGTTTTGCTCGTTCATGGTCGGGTATCGGACGAATGGATCCTCAATGTACATCAAATAAAAGGGAAACAGTGATGAAATGCTTGATGTCATAGGACTTCTGGCTGTGGTTGTCTCATCCTAGGATATCGTTTGTGAATTATGAAATTAGTTTGGGTTTTCCTATGAGGGAATCTACGACATCAAAGACCATTAAGCTTATGTATAGCACAGCCCACAAGAATGTTAGGATACCAAGTAAACTTACTCGATATCGCTGGTAGGTACTCAGAATCTGATTGAGCCGTCGACAAATATTTTGCATTGAACAAAATAGCGTCCGGTCATTTTGATGATCCATAATTCGATAAACTAGTTCGACGGGTAATGTTGAAAATGTGTGCATGTTGTATTTCAATCGTGCAGCAGACTGTACCGTAGTGACTGGAAGCGATGAAAAATATTTGGTTTTGTTCGTTATGAGGAGTAATTCATGGTGATGATGTAGATATACATGTTTTTGACGAAAACAAATGACGTGTAATCATTTCAATTGTTATGAATTGTTGGCGTGCACAGATAGATGGCATTAGGATACGTAGGCGCCGTGAATTCTGTTTTCACAAATACAGTGGTAAATTAAAAAATTGAAAACAAGGACATCTTTTATGACTTTGGGTCCTTTGGAAACCGATTCTATTTTCATCAATAGGAATTAACATCTCTAAATTTATTTTTTTAACGAAAAATTGTAATGAAATATGAAAAACTCTACAGCTTAGATTATAGAGATTCATTTTAATTATGTATCTTTTGTTTTCGAGAACACTAAATGTTACCCAGTCCGTTTTCACTGATTGTTTTGCAACATTTGACGCTTTTTTAGTTAAAAACAAACAGATGATTGTAATAAGTTCGACGATATAGTTTGCTGATAGAGCTTCATGCAGCATCCCTCAGTGTGTTTGTTTCATTTTTTCAAATCTTATTCGATGATAAATAAAACAAAAACAAAAAATGATTGTTTTTCAACCTGAAAAAAAACAGTCACATGATCTTTTATTTCTTTTTAAAGCCAAAAACTATGAAATTGAGCTACGGTTTACTGCAGAGGTGAAATTAACTAGAACATTAAAGTTAAGTTAAATTGCTATCCCTAAGCTGCGTATCTGGTTTTTGTGTTGAAGGGTGAGTTAGAACATTCATTATCTTTCATATAAATAGAATGACAGCTCCCTCATCGAGGTGCTCTAACAATTTGCTGTCAATTTATTTTGATGAATTAATTACCCTATGGTATTTTAATAAATAAGAAAACGTGGAAAATCTTCGAAACACCAAATTTTATCGATTCTATTAGAAAACAAGACGTTTAGCTTATTGGAAAAGTTAAACCACTTTTCAATATCCCTAAACAGGCGGTTTTAACGATAATTATGAAATCTACAAGAACGCTGTAGTATCTTACTTTAAAACATCCATAGTCCTGCTATCAGCTAACTTCCGATTAGATTTTTACAATATAATAACTGGGATAGACAAATGCGAGCAGTTACAACGAAGAGCAAAAATAGTACTTGATGTATTATTTGGCTGTGGAGGATAGTATTTTATGTAAAGCGTGCTATGTTATATCGGTTTCATAATATTTTACTCTATGCTTTCCGCAATAAATTATGAAACGAATGGAACTACATTGTTCTAGTACTTCAGCATCGGTTTTCCTTTGCTGAAACACAGATTGCCTATGTGATTTGCCTGAAAATCTATTCTATTCCTTAATTGATGCGCATTCATAGTCCCTCTTACTAAAATTATTTTCGACGATTTGATTTCACTGGTAGCATAAACCCCTTGGGAACAGGACTATTTTTAATAGAGCAAACAAGACTTTACACACTCTGGTGGATGCAATTGAGACAATGTGTGCGAAGATAAATAAAAATAGACGATAAACGATAGCGGTGGACTATGACATAGCGAAAAATTAGAAGTGATGAATATAACTACAAAAAGAAAAAAGATGAAAGAGGTCACTATACGAATGATAGTATAATGCATTAACGATATATATAGCGACATATATCATTAAAATATCGTGAATAGTATACTCAAATAAATTATGAATTGATTTCAACCCAGACGTATACATACGTCATCCGTTCTCAGGGGATTAAAAACAGACAGCATGGGATGAATCCAATACATCTTATAAATGAAATTTCATGAATATTGGATATCACGAAATATCAGGTGTTATTACCCGTCGTTTCTCAATTACATACCATGTATATAGGTTACCCTTTTGACTTTGGAAAGCTTTGCTTTATTGGCAATATACTTACAAATACCGTGTTCAATTACGTTATTGAGCTATATGTAGCTAACTAGGCGTCATTTGAATATGTTCTTTTTTCTTAGAATAGCTAAAGCTTGTCCATTGGTAAAAAACCTTTTGTATTTGGAATACTTCTCCGCAGTCAAATAATGTGGAGAAATCATCTGGTAGTAATTCAGTCGAATGAAATCGTTCAATAGCATCATCTTACCTCACTTGAGATTGGAACAACTGATATTACTTATATCTCTTGGCTTGAAAGATTATAATGCATATTTTCCTTTATTGTAAATTAGTTTTCATTGAATGTATTTGCCAATCTGAGTCAAAAATAAACTTAATTGTTTCGTTTGCTACTACCAACAAGTAGCGCTCATCTGTTGGATTCGCTGACCCTGTTCTGAAAGAATTACAAGACTCAGATAAAAACTCTAACGTATATCTCACTCTAACGCGCTTCGAACTAAAGCCACTTTTATGCACATTCTTTTCTTTTAATCCTTTTCTACTTTATTCATGCCAAACTGCTTTCAATTCATTTGTCCAAAGACATGGGCAAAAGGAACACTGTTTCTAAAGATTTACGAATCGACTCTCTTCCCACTATTTATAATCAAAAATCAATTTACTTACACTTATTTTATCTCTTCTAGGACATCCAAACAAACTCCTGGTCGCTCGTCGGTCTACCTTCGGTCGACCACTCGCGGCTAGCCGTTACATGTCCAACTTTCATTCTTTCATCTAGCTTAAATTCCCTTCAGTAATGTTATCAATATACTGATGAGTATGAGTATCCAGCCGGCGGATGCTAATCAGCTATTTGGTTTTATTCTACATATTGCTGCTTCAAACACTATCGCCCACAAAAAATCTTCCTTGCGAAAAATCGTACTTTTTCTGAAAAAAACAGAACAGAATTTTTCTACAGAAAAACTAATAATACCAGATTCGATATCTTCGACGCCGATTACCTTTCGGTCGAGTCTTACTCAACAAACAAAAAATTTTTCATTGCTTAATTAATAATTAAGTAATTAGCTGTTTGAAGTCTCGAAGAACTGATATCGGATTCGAGATCCTCGACCTCGGTTACCTCATCAGTGGTCAATCTTTGATGATTATAGATAAATTTCATTGATTTATAATATGCTGCAATCTGATTGGATTATGCAAAAAAAAACTTTATGCATTTTCACGACTGTATTTATGTCGCTATAACCATTTCTTTCAGAAAAGGGAATAATAAGTTCAATTTTTTTGGTTCTAACTTAAAAAAGAATAATGCAACATAATGACGTTTATCTTCTACACTTATAATTTTGCCGAGTTTGAAGCCAACTAAATTGAACATTATTTGATTAAAAGAATAATTAAACACAAGTATAGACTTCCCAGGTCGAACAACCCGGCAGAAAACTATCAGTTCCGCGACTTTCCGTAGAAGCAGTATTCCAGGACCCAACGACTTGATTTAATTAATTCTGCTCGGAACTAGTCAAAACCCTTGGCTGGACACAATTATCGGAGTTTTATGACGCATTCCCAGCCGGAGAATAGGGCGGCTTCCTGTATATTTTCGTCGGAAATTAGCGGAATGTAGCTTCAGGAATCGTTGTTTTCACCGCTACTACATCATTAACTGAGTTCTGTTTATTATTCGATTCCGGGGCGACAGAAGCAAGAGAGATGTTTCCATCCGGTGTTATTGAAGAAGCCATTGTTCATAAAAAGATTGAAATTGATAACTATAAATCAACTAGGTTTGGTTCTATCATTCATTTAATATTTCATTAGTATAGTTCATTTATTGAGCCTCATCTTTCTTCTGAGAAATTTCACACTAATTTATATGAGAATAAAAATGTGATTTTTTTCTTCAAATATAAAATACTTTCGTAAAAATCATTTATTTGTTTATTTATTATTTAGCTAAAGAAAGAGGGCGCTAGAGTTTAGCTTGTTCGTGTATAGTCTACTGAGATCATTGATTCTGGTACTCGTATTCGTGTGATTCCCTCAAGAACCAACAGGAAAAACATGAGATTGATAGAAATTGAAAACAGGAATTCTTGAAACGAATACTGTGACTGGTTTTGGTCGATTCCTTTGAGTTCTGGAGAAAATCGGATGACTTCCGTTACTGCCTTCATTCAAAGAATTCCTGCTTTCACTTTCTATAAAATTCCAATGACTTCTTTTCGGATCGGGCTCGTGCTTGCCGACATAGGTGATGAAAATATTTTCAACAATACATAAAGATTTGTGCAATGAACGATGATCACTCGGTCTTGCTTTTTGATACGATCATAATCATAACCGATGTTTTAGGGAATTCGATTCAAAATCACTATTGTTACCGGATATGCTATATACCTATTACAAGTGCAGTTGTATTCAGTGCAAATTCGATGTCCAAAGTCATGATCTTTACAGATTTCTTTAGAATTCTAACAATCAGTGTGAAGCTAACACGTCGTTTGTTCGTGCCAGCTTCACATCGATATTGACATGACTATGAAAGTCAATTTCAGATGAGACAATAGATGACATTAACTTAAATCTCGTTTGTCAGGTGGATATTTCTCTCTACGAGAAAATGTCACCGAACATATCTTTGACCTTCATCTGATCATTTCTACTTATATCAAAAGTTCATCAAGTGAATAGACAAGTATATCATCCGACATTTTCTCGTTAACAATCTGTAACGAATTATCAAGGCGAAGATCTCTTTTNGCTCCTTCATCACCGATTTCGTTCCCACTGAGGTCAAGTGTGGTGAGTGTCTGTAGGTGTGATATGGACTGAGTGCTTCATCTCTAATCAAATGAGATCAATATTACCGTATTCGTTCGCAACGCATCCGCAATGTGTTGTGCTCCTTCATCACCGATTTCGTTCCCACTGAGGTCAAGTGTGGTGAGTGTCTGTAGGTGTGATATGGACTGAGTGCTTCATCTCTAATCAAATGAGATCAATATTACCGTATTCGTTCGCAACGCATCCGCAATGTGTTGTGCTCCTTCATCACCGATTTCGTTCCCACTGAGGTCAAGTGTGGTGAGTGTCTGTAGGTGTGATATGGACTGAGTGCTTCATCTCTAATCAAATGAGATCAATATTACCGTATTCGTTCGCAGCGCATTAGCAATGTGTTGTGCTCCTTCATCACCGATTCGGTTCCCACTGAGGTAAAGTGCGGTGAGTGTCTGAATTGAAGTAATGTATGATGAAATGCGTAAGTAGTAAAGAAAACCTTTGATGGCACTTCTGATGGTATGTATGGGATTTAAAATAGTTATGTTTGGGGTCGATTTTTAAGGAGGAGTTGGGTGTAGATGTGTATTGTTCGAGTGGATGAGGAGGCTAGTTGTTGTTGCGGAAAGAAGTGCGTGTCGAGAATCGAGACTGGGGAAAACTGTGATAGGATGGAATCGGAAAGAGTAGGAGATAAGTTTCAATATTTGTTGGTGGTACTTAGATGTCTCTTTTGAAGACGCACTGCAGTGAAATCCAAGTCCTACTAGTCTGAAATGTAGTAGGAGGACTTGATGTACCCGTGTTGAGAATGAAGATTGGCATAGGTGAAGCAACTGTACAGTGTTGTTTGCTTCAGTAGATGAGTTCCGTCAAAAGTTGTAAGTGACGCAATTTTCTTATTGAGTAGTGCAACGCAGAAACGGTAACGCATAAGTAAGCGTTTTGTTCGTTCATGGTCGCGTATCGGACGAATGCATCCTCAACGTACATAAAATAAAAGGGAGAGAGTGATGAAATGCTTGATTTCATATGACTTCTGGCTGTGGTTGTCTCATCCTAGGATATCGTTTGTGAATTATGAAATTAGTTTGGGTTTTCCTATGAGGGAATCTACGACATAAAATACCATTAAGTTTATGTATAGCACAGTCTACAAGAATGTTAGGTTACCAAGTAAACTTACTTGATATCGCTGGTAAGTACTCAGGATCTGATTGAGCCGTCGACAAATATTTTGCATTGAACAAAAAAGCGTCCGGTCATTTTGATGATCCATAATTCGATAAACTAGTTCGACGGGTAATGTTGAAAATGTGTCCATGTTGAATTTCAATCGTGCAGCAGACTGTACCGTAGAGACTGGAAGCGATGAAAAATATTTGGTTTTGTTCGTTATGAGTAGTAACTCATGGTGGTAATGTATTTATATATGTTTTTGACGAAAACAAATGACGTGTAACCATTTCAGCAGTTACGAATTGTTGGCGTGCGCAGAGAGGTGGCGTTAGAATACGCATGCTCATTGAATTCTGTTTTGACAGATACAGTGGTAAATTAAAAAATTGAAAACAGGATATCTTTTATGATTTTAGGCCCTTTGGAAACCGATTCTATTTTCATCAAAAGGAATTAACATCTCTAAATTAATTTTTTTAACTAAAACTTGTAATGAAATATGAAAAACTCTACAGCTTAGATTAGAGATCCATTTTAGTTATGTATGTTTTGTCTTCGAGAACACTAAATGTTACCCAGTCAGTTTTCACTGATTGTTTTGCAACATTGGACGTTTTTTAGTTAAAAAAAAACAGATGATTGTAATAAGTTCGACGATATAGTTTGCCGATAGAGCTTCACGCAGCATCCCTCAGTGTGTTTGTTTCATTTTTTCAAATCTTATTCGACAATAGATAAAACAAAAACAAAAAATGATCGTTTCTCAATCTGAAAAAAACAAAAAATGATCGTTTCTCAATCTGAAAAAAACAGTCACATGACCTTTTATTTCTTTTTAAAGCCAAAAACTATAAAAAAAAATTGAGCTACGGTTTACTGCAGAGGTGATGTTAACTAGAACATTTAAAGTTAAGTTAAATTGCTATCCCTAAGCTGCGTATCTGGTTTTTGTGTTGAAGGGTGAGTTAGAACATTCATTATCTTTCATATAAACAGAATGACAGCTCCCTCATCGAGGTGCTCTAACAATTTGCTGTCAATTTATTTTGATGAATTAATTACCCAGAGATGGGCAAGTCAAGTCATTTTTTGACTTGGCGATTTTTATTTTGATCTTTGACTTGACTTGACTTGACTTGACTTGAATGCATATGAAATTTCAAGTCAAGTCAAAAAGCATTTGTAGCGAGGTCTTCAATGCACTGCATATTCTATAACTAATTTGAAATATTACACGAAATGTACATAAAAATAATGAAAATTTTGTTTTGAACGAGACTCTGATTTATGTGAGATTTGAATTGCACAGTCCAATCAG